ATTATGTTTTATCATGAAAGCTGTCCGTATTTTATTCCACCGTTTGTTATAAGTCGATATATGACAGCGAAGAACGCTTGACAAGTTCACAGTTGCCCTACGTCCACGTGCTCTCTCAGTGACTTCGAATGAACCCATGTAAGAGGATAGACAAGGTAGCTAGTTATAATGAACATGAAAAACAGAGAGCATGCCGCTCACTTTGATCAAGTAAGCTATTTGTGATGGTCATCAAGCACTTGGGAACACTTTGGCTAAACAAACAACATAGTAAGTACATATTCGTCTGAGGAAAATCTGTGTCCGTATTTTATCACTTGTGTTAACTGTTATAGTCTTCATTTTCTACTAAACAGCCATGTCACTTTGTAAACGTTTATGAAAATGTAAGTATGGGATGCGGTATATTCAAACACGGTGCGTTACGTTTGGTTGTTTGCAAATGTATCCCAAACACACGACGTAAGGGGGAAAATCGAAGTTTGCCCTAAATAACCGACGTGAAGGGGGGAAATCGATATTTCGCCTTTATTTACGCTTTCGTTCGCTTTATTTCCATTTGTTCGCCTTTATTTCCCTCTTTCGGTTGCTTGGGCACTGTCGGAAAAACATTCCTTTTACAACTGCCATAGAGAACCACTTTATCTTTCTATGTAATCCACACGGGATTCTGTTCTATTGTTTAAAACTAAAGTTTCTATTCCAGAGACTGGTACCAATTCAATGAATTCAACCGTCTTTATCTTTCTATGTAATCCACACGGGATTCTGTTCTGTTGTTTAAAACTAAAGTTTCTATTCCAGAGATTGGTACCAATTCAATGAATTCAATGGTTTGCCACATCAGTTACATTCCAAAGTGAAAAGCACGACATATCAGTCAAATTGTGTTGATGTCAGTAGCAAATATCCTATTGAGCAAATATACTATTGAACATAGTTTTTCATATGCTTTAATAACTTTAATTCTGAGTAACTATTGCTGTCTTAAATTAATGACGCTTCACTCTCGTGTACTGTAATGCAGTAGGTACAGTGGTCGTGTCCCACTTAAGATGTGAAAACACTGGTTTAAAATTATGTAATAGCCACAGATAGTCAAACATTGGTTGGAGGAAAATGGACTGCCTACCTACCTTTTGAGAGTTCTCTCCAGACAGTGTTTTGCCAGTCGTTTTACTACGGTTCTGAATTCATTTGCAAATTTTCGTACGATTGCTCTGTTGCCCTTTCTGATAGACTGCATTTATTGCAAAACTTTCTTCATGATCTTGGAAAAGTGATCATGCCATCAATTCAACATAAATCGCTGTTAAAGTCAGTTACCTTTAATTATGCTTTCATTAGCAAACCTACTGAACGAAAGCCAATTATGTTTTATCATGAAAGCTGTCCGTATTTTATTCCACCGTTTGTTATAAGTCGATATATGACAGCGAAGAACGCTTGACAAGTTCACAGTTGCCCTACGTCCACGTGCTCTCTCAGTGACTTCGAATGAACCCATGTAAGAGGATAGACAAGGTAGCTAGTTATAATGAACATGAAAAACAGAGAGCATGCCGCTCACTTTGATCAAGTAAGCTATTTGTGATGGTCATCAAGCACTTGGGAACACTTTGGCTAAACAAACAACATAGTAAGTACATATTCGTCTGAGGAAAATCTGTGTCCGTATTTTATCACTTGTGTTAACTGTTATAGTCTTCATTTTCTACTAAACAGCCATGTCACTTTGTAAACGTTTATGAAAATGTAAGTATGGGATGCGGTATATTCAAACACGGTGCGTTACGTTTGGTTGTTTGCAAATGTATCCCAAACACACGACGTAAGGGGGAAAATCGAAGTTTGCCCTAAATAACCGACGTGAAGGGGGGAAATCGATATTTCGCCTTTATTTACGCTTTCGTTCGCTTTATTTCCATTTGTTCGCCTTTATTTCCCTCTTTCGGTTGCTTGGGCACTGTCGGAAAAACATTCCTTTTAGAACTGCCATAGAGAACCACTTTATCTTTCTATGTAATCCACACGGGATTCTGTTCTATTGGTTAAAACTGTAATTCGTTCGTTAAATTGTATTATTTCTCTTCAACGTACAAGTTAGTCTGGCTGGCATATGCTTCGTATTATATCATCTCTTTTCCTTTTCGGCTGAAGAATGATTTGAACCGCCCTTAAAATTTTCCACTGAACCCATTATAGTCCTTATTGCTTTGAATATTTGGGTTCATAAATTGGGCTATCATGTTGGTTGCTTAAAATAACGTTTAACATAGTTAAGATAATAAAGTTACCACATTAGGCTATTGTCGTACTGCACTGGTGTAATATCTAAACGATCACGTAGTTGTTAGTCAAGCAAGCGTCCAAAATAAACTTCAGAGTTTACTACCATCTTTAACGTTAAGTGAACAAATATTTCTTGATCGTAATTTGTAATATAATAATGCAGCTCGGATTAATTAATGCCACAAATCTTTCATGTTTTCGAATCACCGGAAACAACGATATCAATTCCTCATAAGTTAATCAGCAATCAACAACATAACTAGTTATTCATAATGGTTTCTGGATAGCGTCATAAATCATTGTCTTGACTTCGCAACTACATGAAATGATTGATAAAATTGATGAAACGAATAATAATCTCAGTCAACGAATTGTTTCATAATTATCGTTTTAGTCTTTTCTCGTGGTTATACTTATTTATTACCTGTGATTTCAGCATATTTCTCTGTCACTTGGTTATTTTAGTAAGCATCTTAAAACATTATCAGTCTAATTGGAGGTTTAGCGACATAATCTTTCATGGAAAAATCATTGGTATAAACAGTCGAGCAAATCTCCTGCAAAACGAAAACATCGTTGTTTAATTTGCCACAACACTGGCAAAGGTTAATGCCACTATCACATACATGGTTGGGGGTTGCTTTTCCCTTGGTTACAATTAATGCTCTCCCTGATAATCACATGAGCAGCACTCAATGTTTGCCATCTTGCAGAGGTTTATTTAGCCAAAAGCATTGCACAATATTATGTCACCTTTACTTGTGGCACATAAGCTTAGTTGATCTGTATCTTATCCTAAACTAAATACTTGCATCTGACTTATACACACCATTAACCAGTATGTATGCACATAAATAATTGTTCTGCTGCAACCCAGAACACTTAATCTGGAGCATATCTCTCAAGGGTGCACTGATGTTCGACAAACTGCCTTCAACTACCTGTCTGAAATTTACATGATTATCAGTATTTTCACGTGAGAAATAAGTATTTGGTAGCAGTTTGTGTGTATTACTAGTATTATTAAGTCTTGTCACGGTTATGCAACAATGAAGTTGAGGGAATTTCTCCGTAACTATATTAAGCGTACTGAACTTAACAGATTAACCGGGACACTAGTTGGAATTCTTCTTCTCCGCGTCTTTACTTTTGTCCCATTAGTTAGTGTACTAATGCAGACGCAGTCGTAAACCAATTCATATGGACGGCATACCGACATAAATGTTAACTGAATTTGTGATTTAAACCAACGATAACACCAATATCAACATTTATACAATAGTGATTGTTTCCCTATACATAAACACAAAACATTTATACTGCTCATAAATCAAGTTATCATTCAGCATGTTAATGAGACTTGTCAAAATGTCTCTGTGATAAATCATCTTGGTACCGTTATGTTTAAAAATTAAATAATGTGTTCATAGATTTTCATTTCGGGCGTGTCAGGAATAAAAACTGAACGTTTTTGAAACTACTGAACATATTTCCAGGTCAGTTGCTGCTGCCCACTTTTTGATTTATCTTCCAGCATATCAATACCCAAAGGATTTATATTATTCTTTATGTAACTTCCCATTTTGACTTCCTATCAAACTAACGTCACGCTGATTCTGGTAGGGAGGTTGGTGTAGTGGTATTGGTTCTAACCACTCGATCTTCGAAGCTTAACGTAAGATAGCTTGGAAGATTCGTAGTGCAATTGGATACTAATGACACGATCTTTAAAGCTCAGCGTATAGACACTGAAAAGACTTACATTCAACAAGTAGCACTTTGAGAAGGTCAAAGATGGTAAACGAGAGGACAATGAATCGAAGCGGCACGTTCAGGCGTGGTCACTGTATGTAAACTCATGCTTTTTGCATTGAACATATTACTCTCTTCCCATCCCAAAAGTGTTTTTCAGAAGTGCTAGATGTCATACTGCTGATTGTCGTGGTAGGATGAGTTAGTGTGGACTGATGTAACTTTGTATAAATTAGGTAGTCACGCCACAACGAATCTTCAGTATCAGAATTACGTCTGTTATTAAGGCAGCAAAGATAAATGTACCAATACGGAACTATACAATAATTTCACAGGAATACAAGTGATTTATTTGTACGAGTTTGGCCGTGAACAATCATTGACGACCTTACGATATACACTTCAATACTTAAGGCAACTCACATTCACAAAAATTGCCAGTATTGTTTCATATAATTTGACAGTCGGATGATTTACGAACAATATCGATTCCTTGAGGTTTTCATTTCACAGAGAACATGCGCTTGAAAATAACAAAGGGATATTCGTAGCGTACATCATGAATTTCTTTGGTTTGTAATGAATACGCGTTATGTGAACCTGTCAGCGTTATATTTTTCCTGAGTGTCACAAACCTTCAAGGTTATTTTCCGGTTCATCTCATGTCAAAGACATTTCAGATAAGATTATTCTCCGAATAGTATCACTGAAGTCGTTCGTAATACTCTCAAAAGTACTTGATGCAGTATTGCTATTTAAAAATGTGAGGGAAAGTTAATGCCGTCTCGAAAGGATCAATGATCTGAATTCATCGACTGTTAGCCTTAGGTTGACAATTAAACAACATAATGTAGAGATATTATTGAAATAATACTTCTGCGTTATCTAAAAGACAAATAAGCAGAGGATACACATGGTAATTCATCATTATATATTTTTGAAATATACAGATAAGCCAATTTTACACTTACATAACCAAACGTACCACCATTCTGGGAAATATAAAATGTAGGATAGTCGCAAGCCACTCAAGGTCGTCAGAACGAAACAGGGGTAATTTCGATACTGAGGTGTACTGCGTCAGGTGTTTATAAACTGTTACACAGTCTGTAAAGCTAGAATTTCGTTTTTAACTAGTGTCAAAATTATAATGTATGTAGAAATTTTATTCGCTTGGTAAATTCTCAAGGTTTACAGTCGGTTTTCTTGTCCTAGGAAAGATTTTCACTAGAAACCCTCACATTCAAAAGAATAGCTATTGTTTTTGTTGTTTTCCACGTCATGAATGCCAGTATAATGAACTTTACTGTTATTATCATGATACGTCCTTGCATACTTTTCACGAGATGTTGGGCAATCCCTCCAAGGTCTCTAAAAAAAACGGGATCTTACGAATGAATATGGATGGATTTCCTCAGTGTTATAAAATTCTGAAGAAACATTGTAAAAAAACCCAAAATTCTTGGGGATGTTTCCAAAACAGGATTTTTCGAGACTTGGGGAAATCTTCGGGGTTTTGTGTCATTTCTACAAAATGGACAATCTCACCGAAATAAAGAGATTGGGTACAATATCCATAGAAATATCTTCAATATCAAGTGACGTATTTTTGTAATCCCTCTTCCTCCTCTTTGTATTCACTATGTATACAGATAATAAAGAAGCATTGCTTATCGTCTAGCTGTTATGTGAAAGTTAAAAAGCATCGTCTCCTGTTAAATATTATTGTTTTGAATAAATTATGAAGTTCTGTGGCCACACACCAATATTCTACAAAGCAATCAAGAGATTTTATCCACCGGATTCGTATGGTTCTAAACAATCAGGGTTTTTAACAGTTTTTTGGCATGGAATATTGATTAGGTTGATCTGCTATCTCCGTGTACACACACAAGTCTCTAGGTACCACTAATAACTTCCATAGTATTGATGACATACAGCTACTCTTGACTAATGTGTAAATAAAGTATTTTAATGAAAATAGTTTATGATGCGTTTTCTAAACGAAAGCTGAAAAGGTCCTCCCTCATCAACGCTAAAGGAGAGTTTGCTGCTTCTTATTTTGACTTTATACCATTTAATTTATAATTCTGCTGTTTCTTTTTCGTTCTTGATGTTAATCACATTGCCAGTTATTGACTTTAAATGTACACAGGCAGGAAGGCAACCCAAGTTTGTTTTTTTTTGCTTTTTATCAACAGGTAAACTCCTTATCCCAGTTTAGGAAAATCTTCAATGTTCAACTTTGGTGGCTTTCTATTCCTTTTCGTTATAGTTTGTTTGATTCTTCTTTAGTATTTTCCAGATGTCGGGAAACACATCACAGTCACAATGTATTAAGGAATTGCTAGATAGTTTTTTTCGGGGTATATTATCTGCAAAGTTAGATGATCAAAAAGTTCTGTCAGTAAGTACAAGCTTATTTTGATTTCTCCACAGAATTCGATACCGCTCATTGGGAAACTAGTGTTTGGCGATTCGAAACTCACTTATAATGAGGCACTATACTTGTTTTGTCGACTTGAACGTGATTATTTATCTCTCGACATATTTCCTAATAAATCTTTATTTTCACGAAAAGAGGTAAACATTCTGTCACATCGTTAAGTACAACAGGACTGTTTAAGATCATATAACTCACTACGTGCTGGTTTTGATAGTGTATTCAACAATCCTACTTTGTCGAATAATGAGCTTTATTTCACTGTATATATGCGAATCTTTACTGCATCCAGAGGACAATTAATATCATTGTATCCTTTTTATTTTTCATTGATATTTTTTAATTTATTAGAAAGTGCAAAAAGTCTGCAGTTACACGTAAATAAACGGAGTAACTATTTGAGAAATAGTGTACCTTTAGGTTATCTTTTTAATCCAAATAGTGATTTTTAACATAGCGACTAGTCAGGTTGCTCAAGTCGTTTTAAGTTGTTGGGTCCATCAAATTATTATGGTATGCAGACTTTACTGTTGCGTCAAGTTATCGCCTAGTTAAAATTTATGTAGAGATTTTTACCTTGTGTTAGATCCAAAAGATTTGGTGCTTTAATTTTTATTTAGTATATATTCATTGACTGACATAAAGTTTTGTATTTGACTGAAGTGAACTAAAACCACTGAATATATCATGTAATGAACTATCTGCTTCTATCTAGCCCTCATTAAATGTATTTTTTGATAACTTAGTAGTTTTTTGTGTCAGGTATTATTTGTATTATTTTGCTTTACATCTTGCAAACAACTGAAAGCAGTCTGACTGGTTGTACGTATCTCTCGGTAGATTAGTACAACTATATTCATATATTATAAAAAGTACTTATGTTGTTGAGACTATAGTTCATGGATGACCTTTGAAAGAACCTTAATTAACCTTGAGAAGATTCAGCCAGTAAATAGTTGATACTGAGTAAGAATATATTGTACAAAACCAAAACGTTAAGGTGAATACACTTCTTTATGTGGTTTGAAAGTTTTTCCAGGTTAAAAAGAGGCTGTGCAATTTTTAAATTGTAATGCTTACGGTACAGGAACTCATGCAGCTACACAACCGTTGGTCTCTGGAGCCGTGATAAGGTCGCAAAGGTTTTTATAACCTCAATCACATTGCTCCAATATTATTGATGTATATTCCCGTGGTGAGGTTTACGAAATGTCTCTTGTGAACAGCGACACGATGTACGTAACCAAGTTTAGATATGCGTCGATATGCTCTCCAGTCGTCCGTGTACATAATGGTACACAGCTTCACATACTCCCGTATAATGGGTATTATCGTTTTAGCCTGACGTTTCTCACGTGCTGTAAGTGTCTCTTTTGCAATGATCCGTAGTATGTACCAAAGACCGGTCAAATATACTTGAGGAAGCGCTACATGCCCTGTATTCTCTCTCTCTTGGATTTGCGTTTTCTAACGACTATTTCGTAGATTACTACTATTCTCTTGATTCCTCAAAACGAGTGATTCAAGTTCATTATCTTTTCCCCCAAATGTCCTGGTACGGCCGAGGGTGGGGAGAGTTAGCTCTCCCTCTCGAAATGCTTTCACATGGCCACGCATATACAGCCACTATCAGAGATGTAATAATTACTACCTTCTCGTGGCATGGGTGTTGTTTACGAAATTGAGGGGATGAAAAGCGAATATCAGGCGCTTTAACCGGGTTGGTGGACACGGTGAGTCCACCCAGGGAATTTGGAAAACCTTGATTCCAAACCAATGGTGCACATGGGCTCCAGGATTCTGATGGAACAAAAGGCGTATGAACCAATTGTTGGTCACCAGCTACCATGGGACTGAATCTTCTTACGTTGCTCGTCGAAGACTCCGACTGTGGCCCCCTAATAAAACCATCTGCTTTGGTCTGGGCACCTGGCCAGTATCACAGCACACACACAAATCAAATGACTTGAGTGACGCATATGTATGTGGTATCCCTTTGTACTAATATTTTTGTGTTCAAATAAATAGATGAATAAATACACCATTATTGCACATATATCTCGACAGTGCTCATACCACTAAACGCTCGAAGTTTCAGTAACATCTTCAAAGGTTTTAGCCGGTGTTACTGGTGCTCCTATTATCCAGTTTGCAACAGTTACCATAATCCATCTTAGTTTCAATTAGGATCGAATGGAAAAGTCCCCCGTTCTAGTACTGTGTCCCCCAACATATGGTACGTCGAAATACAACATCGTCGCGGTAGTCTGCATAGTGTCCAGCCATCATTTTAACACCGCAGTCACAAATAAAGGAGCTTATCAGTAATTCCATTTATTGTAGCCGCTTAACTATAACTTCCTTAGAATCCTCTGTAAACAGATCATGCGTGAAGATTGTGTATTGAAATAAGCAACATGATCTTGAAATCTCCCTTTCGCTTCTGATTGACTAGTTCATAAATTATAGTCTCGCCCTTATGCTTTGTTTTATGGTGTGGTATTTGTTGCATTTTATTTCCTTTAAGCAGCAGTAGCTTAGGGGTTGATGGTTCTGGATTGTAATCATTGAGTTATAGGTCGGATGAATTTATATCGTTCTCCAAGACCTGTGTTATGCAGATAAGTGCCGTCATTTTTATTTTTTAATTATGAAAATACACTTTGCTATTTTACTATTTAAGAATATTTGTTAGATATCGAAAAATTGCAGAAAATCCCCTACTAATTATTACAAGCTGTTCTTCACTCATTATTTCTCTCAAAAGTATATTAAATCAACTTTCAACTACTGAAAATGAACTTACCAAAGCATTTCTTCATATATCGCAATCAATAAAGTTAGCTTATTATTATTGTTATTCGATTACGAATTTGTTCCCTCACTTAGACTAGAAGTAGTTATACTACATGAATTGCTTAGTGCTCAAATTGCAATATCAGATCTCATGTTTTTGGAATCTCTGCTTAGTTTAAATCGAGCGAAAGATAATCTAGACAAACTGCGTAAACTTCTCAACTCTAAAGTAAGCGTGCTTGGTATTTCACTTATTTGTTTTAGAAGTAACGTTAAATATAACTTTGACAAGATATTGCCAATAATGATACCTGAGTGAAATTCATTATTTTATTGATATTTGTGTGACAAACGTACAACAGAACAGCTTTCCAATCGGTCTACTGCATCCAATACTTTTTTTCTTGATGTCATTCTGTGGTGATAATGACTATCGCAATAAAACATCGATTTTCCGTTATGGGTTGACGATAGTGTCAGATAGAATGAACCTTGTTGATGTAAATATTTCTAAAATACATTATTGGGATTTGACTTTCTTCGAACCTGACATTTCATATGAGATAAGCTCATTATGTTTATTTCTCGGAGGTTTAGTGTTTAGCGCATTTATAAGACCACTATTTGATGATATTGTTTTCGAGATTGTTGTAATAATCTATTTATTGGTTCAACTTACCATGTCTGCATAACAGTACCTCTGTGACTTCTACGAGAGCATTACAATAACCAGCCTTATCTTCAATATGTTGAACTTTGCCTTGGCGATTCGAGGAGTTAGTCTCAAATTGTTGCGAACTAGATAATGTATTATCGTCTATATATTCGGGATAGCTAAACTGCTTGTGTTCTGCTTACCAATAATTCAGTTGTTGATAAAAAATATTAGTTATTATTAAGTTAGCTAAATGTTTTTATGTACATTATTAATTAAAGGAGTATTAAACTTAGATTAATTGGAAGATTTCATAATAACATATGATTTCACCCTTTTGTGGCATATTGATTCGCTTTTGGAGAAGTGCAAGAGCAATTTACTGGTTGATTATTCTATAATATTTCTGTTGGGTATGTACGATTCTTCAATACAGCCTATGAGGGAGGAAGTCAATATTGATTTAAAGTGAATGTAAAGTCGACTATCAACACATTTTCGTTTCATTACTTTATGAACTTCCAATGCATGTTAACTATGATTTGTGTTTATTGATAACTTAGTTCATGGATTATACTCATTGTAACTGATTCTTAACCGAGTAACAAATGTAATTTTAATTCTGATGCGATCATAATCAGCAATGCTTCCATTATGAAACTAAACACCTAACTCTAGTTAACGGGTCAGGGAAGAAAAGGATAAAAGTAGTCTTGTTCACTGCATTGAACCTGGAGTCTCAATATCTTGGGTCATTGAAAGAACGTGTCAGTTTTGCTTTATTCAGTTTATATATTGCTAAAGCTTGTATAATCTCCCCTCTTTTTTATCTTGGCTTCAGGAAAAGGTTCCTTATTCTTCTTCGTTTTTAGTTCTTCTTTACTAAACATTGAACTATATAAATGCTGATACAATAGAACGGATTGTTTCGTTTCGAATAGATGGTACAGTTCGTTACCAAACCACTGGAACCATGTACTTCCAGTCCATTTTTTTAATACACAATGATCAATACATATTCCATAAGAATGCAATTAGTGTATGTATTACTTAGTATGAAGTGAATGGTTGACTAGTAAACGTAATGTTACTTTTCGAATAAATTCACAGAGGTATGAAGTTTTTGAGGTCAGATTTCCGCATAGTTAACCTACCTACTGATTGATTTTAACTGCGCATATTTTAAGTTTCCCCTTCACCAAAGAAAACCTTAATTCAAAATGCCTGAATGGTGATTCTGTAGAATCGTTTGAGTTATGCTTTTTCACAGTCATCTGTTTCGATCAATATGCTTTCATCATCTCTTAGACACTGTCATTAAAAAACACAAACAAATAGTCTACTGACACTTTTCTGCAAGAAGTTAGCAATCTGTCGTGATGGTTTGTAATGTGATTACCTGTAATTGCATTATCTTTGTCTTCACACATTCCGAATCTCCGTTTTATTGGCTTCTATTATTGCCTTTATACAATCTTTCAGTATACTAAATATCATTTGTATTTTTGTCTAAATTTTCTCATCCTTTTAGTCAAGTTCATACCCACAATTGTAAGCCTGCATCGTGTGATAAAAGTTATTGTGTAACTCTAAACCGTTGTTTGGAGTTCGTGCAAGTTAATGGCTTATCTACTTGGTTTGACGTTATGTTTCTTATTCCTAGTCTCATTTCGATTGTAGTTCATCATAATAGAAAATACTTCAGATGTCATTGTCTTGTTATTCTCATAGTTTTCATCATTGACTGGTTACAGTTAATTAATTACTAGAAACTGGGAAGCACTAAACATCTGTTCCCTTCTACTAAGAGACTTCTCAACAGTGCACATTCACAACCTGACAGGGAGTCAAGCATCGTCTTCTGGCGAGCACCTAATCTCTAGACCACTGAATCAGCATCCAGTGGTGCAAATGTTTAACTCCGATCTATACTCAATATTACGCAAGCATTACGTCCAATGGACGACTTATCTCTTCTAATTTAAGAAATGTTTTCTGTTGACAAAATCCTGTTTTTTGTTTTTGTTTCCCAGGGTAGTACTTCACCCAGTAAACAATTACCACTTGTAGCATGGCTTGAATGCTTTTACGCTCATTTGCTTAGTAAATATACTTTGTACTGGTTTGAAATCTTGGTTCGTTCTGCATCCAATCTTCAGGAAATTGAAGAAACAGCAAACTCAGAAAATCTGAATCTGGTTGCCAAGTAAGGTGTTCTTAGTTCGTTGGAATTTGTTTCATACAATTGGTGTTTTATACTTGTGTTTATTGTTTTACCGTTCGGTAAGTGAATATATCTGCTACACCTCCCAGCCTTACATGGGTTAACCCAATTCGTCTGTTTGACCACCTGGTGACATCTTTCCGTCAACATGGCGTGTTGACCTAGAGATTGTACAAAAATAGGCAGCATATTTGTCACTCATCTTAATCATTGGGTAATCGTAACTTTATCAACTAATATCCTTCTCACTTGGTATGTTCATATATTTAAACACTATCTTAGTATATTGTTGACACAGAGGAAGATGCTGCACCTAATTGAAACTCACTTTCTACTATTCAGTACAAATCATCGTACACTTGTTCCTTATTCTATGAATCAAATCATACTTTCTTTTTCTCTATAGTATCACAAGATTCCAACGAGAATCTAATGCACTAAATATCTCATTATTATTCGATACAACTTGTCAGTCATTTCCATTCCTTGGACATGGTTATGTTTTGAGAGGTTCTGTTGGTGATGCGCCAAAAGGAATTGAAAGTATTCCACCAATTTTTAATGCTCCATTGGTACGCGGGAAATATTTATTGTATTTGTTTATTTAATTTTATCATTTACGTAACTTTCTGTCTTCTGAATGTAACATATATGAATTTTTTTATTTATTCTCTGAAGAAGTGGCTTACACTAAGTCACGAAACGTCAGAAAATCTAATTTTTCTACTCATTGGGATATTACAAATACATTATTTATTTATGTATGGATTTGTTTTTATGACTTCGTTTTTTTCCGGTATGGGAAACATCTGATGCGAATAATAGGCCCGTAGTATGCTGGATTTCAGTTTGAAATGAGGCTATTGTTGATACTTTAAAGTGACTATAGTGTACAGTGTAAAAACCTATGAGAAATTACAACAAGAAGAACCAGCGTTGTCGGTCAAGTGTACTAATTGAATAATATAAATAAATTATATATTTGTAATATCCCAATGCTCAATTTATTCAAAATTATCAAATCAAGTCTTGGTAATGATACCTATAATTGAATAATAGTTTTCAATTTGTTCTAAACGTCAGTATTGTGTTCGTCTACATCCTGTTACCACCAAGTGTAACCAAAGAATATGAAGTCTGAAGAATTAAATTCTCTGCCTTTAGTGTAGGCTAAAAGTGCATACACCATGTACTACCGCAAAAGCATTACTTGTTATCGATATTATTTTCCTATGTGTCAGTCCTATTAACGAAAAAGAATTTGTGATTCATTTAGATTATATCTTGTAAGTGGCTTTCAGTTAACAACTTTAAATATTAAAAGCCGAATAACCTCATATATATACTTCACACAGTTGAATCAAAGTTTGGGTCAAATCGCTAATATTTTAGAGTGCCAGTCACCTTGTAGTTTATTAAGGAGAATCTGATTTCGTAACTATAATGAATTGTATCCATTTCGTAAATGAATATGAGTAAACTAGTCTTCTATCTCTACAATTTAAGCATTTGAGCCTCAGCTATTAGCTTATTTATTCAAACCTGTTTTCTTGTAATTCCGTCTTCGCATTTGATTAATATTTCAAGCTTTCTTTTAGAACGTATGACGGAAATTTTGTACTATACTTCATTAAGCCAATGTTCCCTACTTGCATCACTCCTGTACCTGGTAGAACATTCCCTTAAGTGCTGTTATTACCTACTAATTAACATAAAAATAACCCAATATTTCAAATTTGGCCGTTAAATATTAGTTATTCAAAATGTTGACAGAAATAGATACACGCGGTCTATAAACGCGCATGATGCTCAAGATCATGAGCAAACAAGGGAGAATGTTTAAAGGTGGAGATGCTTTTGACTCATGACACATGAACTTATATCTATTACTTAGTTATCTTTTTACCGAATAACAATAACAATACTAAAAAGTGTAACGATAATACAACTAATTTAATTTTTTCTTTATTCTTTACAGGGTAGTTCATTGTCTCCGGTTGATATTTACACAATTGTTATGCAAATCAACAGTACTCTTCATCTTAGTGGTGATGATAAAATTGATGTTAGTGATATTTTAAAACAACCTCGTTATGTATATGACGAGAAATTAAATCATACATATTATATTAAAAAATTAGAATGTCGTGTATTTTTAGCGCTGGTTTATGAAGGTTTGAAATCCCATAAAGATAAATTAATTAATGAATTTATATCAATGCTCACAGATACGATTTGTTTACATAAGGTGGTCAATCTGCTAAAACAGCACCGACAACAATTCTCTTCATCACCATCTACTGATCGAAGAAGTTTACGGTCGTTGTTTTTTCACTGATTTTCCCTACCGTTCCTTTTTTTATCAATTTCTAATCGTTCTAGTCAGATAACATATAATTTTCATTAATTTCTTATTGTACATATGAACAATTTTAGCTTGTGATTTCTAAAAAATGAATAATAATTTGGAATAAAGAAATATCAGTTGTAGTCTCTTACTCATTATTTCTTTTAAGTGAAGTAACTGACCAACTCTTTGTTTGATAACTGGTAACAGCACAAAAGTGTGTTTTACGGTACTTAGTTTGTTTCTAGAGAAATATGTAAACGAGATTTAATTCTTACTGTTCTAGTTATTGCGCTTAATCAAGATATTCACAGAGTATTAAAATGTATTTGATTTGTAAGCTACTCGATTAAATAAATGATTAAAATTCTGGACTAGTGATTCAGTGGTATTATACTTAGCGCAAGATCTGGAGTTATTTGATACTGTCTCGTATAGGAGCCGTAGACCAGGACGAAATGCCTGTTTATTGGTTTTCTGCGTTTCTTTAGGTGATACCAGTCTGTAATAATTTTAAATTACTCAGAATTCCCACAAAAATATCCTAATAAACTTTAGATTAACAAGTGTCACAATTGATTGATCACTGGGTGGTGATCAATCTCATGCGTGTCAGGTCCTTCTTAGTGCTGATCGAATGCTATCGATCGAGTTGCAATGTGACCACCAGTCTAGGTGGTTGGAGGTGGTCAACAGGAAACCCTGGACCCGGGTTTCGTGCTACTTGGCACTCGTCAGCAAGGTGTACCTGTAATCCTGAGGGAACTGATGCTCCCTGGCGGATTCGATCCCGCGTCACTCAGCTTCACAGTCAGAGACGTTACCACTGATCACCACCCAGTGATCAATCAATTGTGATTACATCTCAGTCCTACAGGAGGTTGGTCGCGGCCCGAATAGCTCGGTGGTAACGTCTCTGACTGTGAAGCTGAGTGACGCGGGATCGAATCCGCCAGGGAGCATCAGTTCCCTCAGGATTACAGGTACACCTTGCTGACGAGTGCCAAGTAGCACGAAACCCGGGTCCAGGGTTTCCTGTTGACCACCTCCAACCACCATCTTACCTCAATTAACAAGTGTTTTATGGTAAAATGTCAGTTATAAGAATCGTGGTTTTTAAAATGGTGGATGATATGGATATAAAATTCAGAAAAGGCTACACACCGAGCTGTATTGTAGACGGTTTTATTTAGTATTTCCTATCAAGTGTAAATTGGTAACTTTACAGTGACATTTTCTTATTTAGAACGGTCCACTTCGTATCGGGATTGGACTGAACATTTGTTTAAATTTGAGAGTGAAATAATTGTCTTAGATTTACTATTTCGGTAGACCGTATTTAACAATCAGCCGAAAAGATTAGTTAAGTTATCTACGAATTGAGTTCAAACTGTTAAAATTGTAGGTGAATAATGAAATCAGTTAGTCATTAAAAAAAGAAACACTCTATTTCAATCTGTAATGTAATTCTCTGATTACTTGTATTTTTGATGTTGTTAATGAATATACTTTTGGTATATTTAAAATGCTACAAACGCTAAATGCCTATTCAACATCAATTATAGTTATTTAATGCATTTCCTTTACCTTTTGTTTATAAATATCCCTTGTGTATTATCCGAATTCAATCGTCCGTAGTCTTAACTAGTTTCGTATATTACACTACTAAGTCAAATGTCAACAATAGTATACTAGAAGGCTAGGTACGAAACGTCTTTGAAAAAATTACATATTTGGCACTGAACCAATAGGCGAAGTTCGGGACTAGTGAGTAAGGTGCGAACCCTGAAGGATAATCTGAAATTTTTTTTAACTGGTACGTAATACATATAAAGAAAACCTTCGAATGCACAACTGATGAGAGTTGGATAAAATGCTCGAGGTGCAGAAATGAAGTCGCTACGAGCTCGTATAGTATAGATTACATCCAAGTCAATATCGTTTTGCGTAAAACAATATACACTTCGATATTGTGTGCGTACAGAAAAATAATTACTGAACCATTGAGAAAATCAAAATACCAAAAATATATTCATGCGTCCGTACCATTTTTTGTATCATGTAAGATTGAATACGTAAACAATATAAAGTTAATTGAACCTACCATTTAAGTCACTTCTTAACTAAATATGATATTATAAATTATTATAATTGATTACAGCGATTACAATAAAGTAGTCTCAAAGTCCCACCTAGCAGTATGGTTGGACCTACTCCGAGGAAGTAATCATCAATTATAACCTAATTTTACTTGATATGTAGAAACTTCAAAAATAAAATAATCATAATGAAAAGCAGTCAATTTTTCGACTGGAAATACACTTATATATTCCTCATTGTTATTTGCTTGCTGTGAAGTCAGCATAGAAGAAAATATAGGATAGACCATTAACTTTGTGTTACAAGATAACATAAAATTTCAGTAGTAGTAGTAGTAATACAGCAAAGTGGATAACAAAGCATTTTTCGATACCTACCAGCTTATATGTTTCAAGAATGAGTTTCAGCTTAGTCGTCCAGCTGTTAGCACCACCTAATTTATTTAGATATGAGCAGTCAATATGTATGTAAGGCCAATGTTTGCTCCGACTTAGTGTCTGGTTAAACTGTATGCTGTTGTGATACATGAAGTGTTGGAATGATAGTGACAGAGTTCTAGTTTAAGAAATAAGTCCTAGTGATTGTATCTTTATTACAATATGGTCCAGAAACAAATTACATGGAGAGTTATATGGGAGTACTGAATTATTCTTTAAACAACTCTTCCAATGATAACACTTGTTGTATGGTGATGCTTTTATGAACTGGGGAATTCTATCTTATTCTATGCATTTTCATAAAACGCCGCTTTCAGAATACAAATTCGTCCGTTTTAAACTGTAAATTCTGACGGTCCAGTGTTAAACTTATTCTCGAACTAAAGCATACATATCAATTTATATTTACTACGCATATATACGCCAAAATGACTGCTCCATTTATTTCCCATCAGTTTTCAGCTGGTACGGCTGAGAGTGGGGAGGACCCACCCTCTCTCGGAATGCTTTCCCACGGCCACGCGTATTACTCACTACCTTCTCCTGGCATATGTGTTGTTTACGAAATTGAGGGGGTGAAGTGCGAATATCCGACGCTTTGACCGGGTTGGTGGACACGGTGAGTCCATCTAGGAAAGTTGGAAAACCCTGATTCCAAACCAATGGTGCACATGGGCTCCACGATCCTGATGGAACGAAAGGCGAATGAACCAACTGTTGGTCACCAGCTACCATGGGACTGAATCTCCTTACGTTGCTCCAGTGCCTTGTGGATCAGACCTCTAAGTCGAAGACTCCGACTGTGGCCCTCTAATAAAACCACCTGCTTTGGTCTGGGCACCCGAGAAGTATCATGGCCCTCACACAATTAGTGTGGCGCATATCTATTTGGTGCATCCTTGTACCAATATTTCTGTGTTCAAATAAATAATAAAATAAATTGTAGAAGACTCAATTTGTTTAATGTACATTCGAGCTGAACAACGTTTCTGGATATTTATTTGTTTTAGTTAACTGCCATCATCAGCGAACAACTAATATGACACTTATGAAGTATGGGGTTGTGGAGATTGTTGAGTTTCATTGAAGCGATGAAACGATCAATGTTGGACCACCATTGAAAACCTGGAAGCACTGGACAACCGTTTCGTCCTAGTGTAGGATACGTCAACAGTATGTATCCCCGATCCCGCACTCGAGACTCGGATCTCCAGCCTCACACGCGAACGCTTAGCCTCTAGTCCACTAAGACGACATCCAACAGTGTTAATGTTTAACCTTAACCATTTTCCTGCCGGAGTATCTTACTAGGACGAAACGGCTGTCCACTGCTCCCAGGTTTTCAATATTAGTCTAACGTTGATCCGTTCATGATTTCAATGATATTGTAGTGAACAGAACACTGGTTGGGGACAATCGAATGTATTTAAGCAAAGATTACAGACTATCTCAGTAAATTCTGAAAACCATACAATGTACAGTCAATTTGCAAATTAACAACCAATAGTCTCGATCTTCACTGTTTCTTCTCTAATTCCATTGTTCGTGCATTTTCCTACCGATTGCCCTTCGTTTCAGTTCTTTCGTCATCGGTCTTCTGCGAAAATACATTCTATGTTTGACCCACACCATATACTACTTATATAGATATAAGTAAACAACACCACAATATTTTGAAGTAATTAATAAACATTTGACTATGATGAACTAGATTAAGTATTGATGTGATATAACCAACAAACAGTTGTTATTTTTTACAAACGGATTACACTAGGACAAGTAACACTGATACGCATACAATTGCACGATCACAGCTACATTCCTTGAAATATATTCCAACCGGTAAATGGCCAAGAAATAAAATTTTAGTTTTCTGCATAAAAATATTTCCTTAGAAATTTTTTTATCAATATTTTGAGATTTGATTATCACCAACCAAACACACATTTTTGTTAACACTGATTCTCAATATGGAAAGTAAGATAATACACAACAAAAATACGAAAATATTTTTATTTCAAAATCTGCAAGGGAAATAGATATGTTGATTATCACAGTGAAAATAGGTTGCTGTACTTTAAGATCTGTTTCGAAGTAATGCTGGTTAATTAACAAAAGTAGTAATAATAACAATACAAAGTTAATAAAAAAACAAACAAAAATATTTAAAAGAGAAGAAAACAATAATACAAAATGAAAATACAGTAATGTCATGTATAGTTGAGTGGGTTAGTGTGTGTTAGTTGGACTTTTTCTACGACTGTACAGTTAAGGTTTAACTAAAAAACTGGAAATTATTTTCTTCTAAGTATTTATTAAATAACTTTTTCGCACGATACAATATTCTGGAAGAATTATGTTTACCAGATTGTTGTTGATAAAATTGTATAATATCCCCAGGTTCTTTAATTTCTAGCATAATTACCTCTTTATATTCTAAGATTAATGATAAACTAAGAAACAAGAGAAATGGATTACCTTGACCGAATTGATTCGGTGGTGGTAAATGTGTCACATTGGTTTTAATATGAATAGGTTCATTTTCAATAGAAAATGAAGATAATCGTTTAGTTGATGTCAAATGTAAAGATTGATTTTTTATAGAGTTGGTAAAATCCAATAGTGATTCATTGGAGATAATTTCAAATTGAGTTTCTGTAATTAACGTATCAGATGAGGTTTGTTGTGGATTTCCGGAATTAAAATCTTGATTAGATAATTGACATGAGAAGTGGGCATCAGAAGTGATAAACTGAGAGGGGGAAGAAGATGGATGATCTTTTTTAATCGTGTCTGGGTTAGACACAGTAGTGAATCCTTTTTTTTTCAAGTCAACAACATAATTTGAACCTATTAAAGAATTGATTAGGCTAACATCTCTTGCCGTGTAGTGGTGCCAATTAAGAGAATTTGTTGATGTGAATGAGGTATTCGGCATGTACAAATTACTTGTACCATCAGTTAAAACAAGATAACCTTCAGATTTAGAATTGCAAGTTTCAATTTCAATTAAACTATTATTTTTTACAAGACATAAAGCAGCCCATTGTGATTCAAACATACGTAAAGACTCTTCAAAGTTAAATTCACGTTTTAATTCTAAGACAAACCAACGTTGAGTAAAATACATATTAGCTAAATTATGTGCACGGAAAAATTGTGCTAATTCACTATCTGTATACGTTAGAAGATCGTGTAAATCTTGCATATTGTTAATTAATATAGATTGCTGCGTATCACCAAATTTGAATTTAACACGTTGCATTAAAGCACAAAACGAGAGATATGCTAGTGCTTCATCACTTTGAACAACTAATAATGGGCTGGCCAAATCTGACATACCTACAATAATAAGAAAACATTGGTGATTGACAGCTAACAAGGAAAAACATACATTGACTTAAAAGGCGAATTTTTTTAGCGATGGCATCTGTAGCTAGTCATTAGTAAGTAAATAAATAAACACAGACTAATATCGTTCAGTGATCAGTTACATTTACAAAAGTACTCAACAAGGAGTAGATAGTAGCAGAACACAATCTTTTTTTCTAAGAAATAGACTACTTAAGCGACAACACAAAAATGGGCGAGAAAGTGTATTGAACAAAATGCATAAATACTACTTCTGATTGGCTTTCCATATCACTTTCACGCAATTGAATCAGGTTCAATATCTTTTATATCTGAATATAATACTTGAATAATTTCAATAGATTTCGATAAAGTAATACTAGTCAAAATTTGTCTGGTTTTGAGATATCTGGATGGTTTTGATAAATATTCCCAAAATTATATATCGGAGCTATCGGACTAATTATCAGTTAGGAGATAGTAAAAGTATTATCAAACAGGATAATTAACATTAGTGTGCGCTGACTACCAGGAAGTTGTGAATATTGTGACCGAGCACACAGAGTACACGAGTTTGTGACTATTTTTTGAAACAGCCACACAAACTATTCAGTAACTAGAATCAAAGTAGATAAGGCAGGATTAGAATATTTAACCGAGTGGATGTTCATTTGCACTTTATGAGTACATAAATTTGAGGCGTCCCAGAAAAAAATATCCAGCAACTTATGATTTAAAATAAACGCATTCAGTCGATAATAATATTAATAATAATATTTTTACTAATGAATGTTAATAATACGTAAATTAAGAAGACGTAGCTAACCAACTGACCTTGACAATATCCAATATTTGGGTGGTGTATACAATAAGTGGCTAGAATATCGAACAATTGACACACTCGATGATGGTTGCCAACAGAACGATAATAGTCTTCTTCTATAATAGGTGCAGAATGAAAGAAAATACTGATCAAGAAAAGTAGGACGATAACAAAAACAAATAATGAAGACAATGAAACATATTATGACAATTATTTGGGTAAATATATATATATATATATATATATATATATATATATATATATATATATATAGTAATTTTTTCCTCTCAAAAAGATATTAACTGAATGCTTAGTCATAACCAAATATCACACTTTATAACCCTTAGTAATGATTGAATTCAACCAACCAAATTGCAGTATGTTTGTTAGTTTGGGTGAATCGACACCACAATAAGAGTTAATTAATGTCAGATGATTAGAGACACTTCAATGATCACGATCTGTTGTTGGATAACACTCGTCAGAAATCGACTGTTACTAGCTGATTAACTATTGTTGGAAGCCCAGTACTTCTTGAGTCAAGATTCAAATAGCCCACTGACTGCGATAATGAGTTAAGTGAACTCAAGTTCTACAAACATCATCAGCCCTCTCAAGAGTATAGATAAAAAATTTCAAACGACTACCAACTAGTATCAAATCTAAGTTTAGAGCTTCTTACAAATTACCTTCAACCATCTAGCAGCCTATAGACGTTTACCGTAGTCATAACATACTTTAAGCTTAGACAACGATCTGATACAAGCGTAGGTAAGAGATGAAGGTTAAGAGGACAAGACAGGATAATTAAATAACAAACTCTACATTTCCTTCGAGTACTTATTTACCATTCAACCGGATTATTCTTGAACTAAATGTAAGATGCACCGACCACAATTGGATCGTTAACGATTGGTTAGTGTATGCAACGTCAGTCAGCTACAACGTAGGACCAGGCACATATATGCATCGGTCCAAGTTGCCATACCTCGTTAGCACAACAAGATGAACACCGGATTCATAGAAGTAATTAATTTAGTGGTGGTAGTATATAAAGAAAGGTTGTATATAAGGATATAGTATAGGAAGAAAGAAAGATATGAAGCACTTTTAATCTCAAGGTTTAAGGCAAGATAAAGAGTGTATACACCTACGCCATTGTGATCGATTCTGAGCCATGTCACCTAGAGTCTCCAACCATTGGTTACGATAATCACGCGGACCCCAACCAGGTAGTCTGTATCTGCCAACATGGCTCAGACTAGAAGTTAGTGACTTCAAGCACTGATGCCATGTTTCAGTTTGACCGCCCCTAACTCTCTTCCAACCATCCCCTACACTAGTCAACATTGCGCGTCGTGCTAATTGGTGTTCAGGCATACGTAACACGTGGCCTAACCATCTCAGTCGATGAAGATTCATAGCCTCATCAACTTATTTACCATCATTCCCTAATACCCTGCGTCGAACCTCACTATTACTTACCCGGTGATCCCTGAAGATGCGAGCAATATTTCTAAGGCATCTGTGGTCAAATACCAGTAACTTACGAGTATCTTCTACTCTTAATGGCCATGTTTCGCAGCCGTAAATTAGAACAGAGCGAACTGATGCGCAGTATACTCGTCCTTTAATTGATAGACGGATATATCGTCTTCGCCTTAGGTGATGTAGGTTGGGAAATGCCAAACGAGCTTTTCGAATCCGTGCTGAGATTTCGTCAGACACCAACCCATTAGGGCTGATCAGACTTCCAAGATAAGTGAAGTTGTCCACGCGTTCGACTACTCCACTCTCTATCCTTAGTTCAGGTGTTGACGCAGGCCAGTCTTGGAGTAACAATTTACATTTGGATAGGGAGAAACGCATTCCAAACATCCTGGCATTATCACCCAGTTCTAACAGAAGACTCTGCATTTTACCAGCGTCTTCACCAAAAAAGACTATGTCATCTGCGTATTCTAAGTCGATAAGTGAACCTCCTGGTGGGAGATCAATTCCTGAAAATTCAGTCGACGAGAGTGTTATTTCCAGCAATAGGTCTATAATGAAGTTAAACAAAAAACGGGGATAGTGGACCGTCTTGTCGGACACCATTCGAGGTTGTAAAATCATATGACAGTTCGCCATAAGCTCTCACTCGACTGGTAGTGTTCGAGTAAAGAGCCTTCACAAGGTTTATGTACTTCTCAGGTACACCTTTTCAATGACAGACACTGCCACAGAACATCTCGGTCTACAGAATCAAATGCTGCTTTCAAGTCAAGAAAAATTATCATTGTCGGACGCCGATAAGCATGTCTGTGCTCTAAAACTTGACGAATGGTGAATATGTGGTCGATACAGCCACGACCAGGTCTGAAGCCAGCCTGATTTTCTCGAGTTCGCAGTTCACGAGTCTTAGTTAGGCTCCCGATAATTATTGAGACTAGCATTTTAGATGTTATGTTAGTCAGAATAATCCCTTTATGGTTATCACAGGATGATTTTGGCCCCTTCTTATATACTGGGACAATCAGAGATTGTGACCAGTCAGATGGGATTACGTCCAACTCCCAGATTTTAGCCAGAATATTAGTCAACCTAGTCGCTAAGATTGGACCACCATATTTAAAGATTTATGGAGCCAATCCATCTGGACCAGCTACTCTTCCTCGTTTCAGATTACTTATAGCCTTTTGAACTTCAAGTAGGGTCGGGGGGCCTACTTCAATGTTCCATTCAGGATTTCTGGGAATAGTGGGTAGTTGTGCAGTGGCTAAAGGCCAGCTACACTGTTCCTTAAAGTGTTCCGCCTATTGCTCTAAACGTTTGAGTTGAGAGCAGATAAGGGTTCCATATTTTTCCGAGGCCCTGTATACGAACACCTCAGGCAGAGTGAGGGCATACAACCACCTTTCTCCCTTGTTCCATTCGAGCAGTGGGGTTAGGCAGGGTTGCCCAATCTCACCATTCCTCTTCAACTTTGCCATCGACGACATCCTGGAAACAGCTCTGATGGATGTAAGTAATGGCGGTGTAGATATGTTGCCTGGAGAACGACTTCTCGATCTTGAGTATGCGGATGATATTGTCTTACTGTGCGATAATGCCCAAGGCATGCAATCCGCACTTAATCAGTTGGCGATCAGTGTCCGCAGGTACGGTATGTGCTTTGCACCCTCCAAGTGCAAGGTACTCCTACAAGACTGGCAGGATTCCCATCCTGTTCTCACCCTGGATGGTGAGCAGATTGAAGTAGTTGAGAAGTTCGTGTATCTAGGTAGCTATATAAGTGTTGGTGGTGGCGTGAGTGATGAGATTGATGCACGTATAATGAAAGCCAGAGCGGCTTATGCCAATCTGGGCCATCTTTGGCGCCTTCGTGATGTTAGTCTGGCTGTAAAAGGTCGGATCTACAACGCGTCGGTGAGAGCAGTTCTGCTCTATGCTTGTGAAACCTGGCCTCTCCGAGTTGAGGATGTTAGACATCTCTCTGTGTTCGATCATCGTTGTCTCCGAAGGATTGCTGACATTCAGTGGCAACACCATGTTAGTAATGCAGAGGTTCGACATCGTGTGCTTGGGCGCAGAGACGATAATTCAATTGGTGTTACCATCTTGAAACACCGACTTCGGTGGCTTGGACATGTTTTACGAATGTCGTCCCAGAGGCTTCCACGTCGTGCATTATTTGCCGACTCTGGGACTGGTTGGAGAAAGCGGAGAGGAGGTCAGTGTATGACATGGTGTTGTGGCATGAAAGAGAGCTGCAAAGGGCTAGCTTTTGTTGGTCCTTCACGACTCCCTGGCTGGGGTCCGAGAGATGGTGCAACACAGTGGCTAGAGACGTTATCAGATATGGCTCAGAATAAAAGCCAGTGGCGATTCTGCTGTGACCTTTTTCTACTTTCTGCATAAAGAGTGGCTATAACTTTCCTAACTGAGAGAGCTCTTCTGGTTGTACATTCAGTTCCCCCCATCATTACTCTTCTCCTTTTCTTTTTTTCCTTCTTTTATATATACGCATCTCCTTCTTTCTCCCATTGTCATTATTTTGTGTGGTGCATATGTATCCGGTGCCCTTTGTACCAATATATATGTGATTAAATAAATATAATAAATAATTTTTCCGAGATTGTCTCACTTACACTTGACTTCTTAATTCCAGTTTCTTCTATTAGTCTGAAGAGTTGCCTGGTGTTGCCTAAAGCCGCTGCCTTTTCCATCTCTTTTGCTTTCGTTTCCCACCACTGCTCACGATCGTTCCTTAGACTTTTAGTTAACCTAGATCTAATTTCTTTACACTCTTCGTCGTGTTCAGAGCCTGATGGGATGAGTTTACGCGAATCCATAAGTGAAATAGACTTAGAAGAAATCCACTGGTTTTTTTGAGCCCTATGGTTTAAATAACTAATAGATGTTACTGCTGTTTCCACAGCTGTTTGTATGTCTTTCCAAGTAGCATCTGGGTCAGTCTTGTTAACAGAACTGCCTAGATGTGAACTCAGTTGTTTCTGGAATTCACATTTGGCTTTCTCGTCCTCCAGTTCAATCCTAATGGGTCTTCTTAGTGTACTTTTCCTGCATCCATTGAGGCGCAGACAAATGCGCGCTCGGATTAAAGCGTGATCAGAGTCTAAACAAGTATTCCAATACGAGCGACAATCTTCTATTGACCCTCTCCAATGATGACTGATGACAATATGGTCTATTTGAGTCCATCGTTGGTTTGGTGCAGGTGGTCGCCATGTTACACGATGTCTCTCCTTATGTTTAAAATTAGTGCTTGCTAGAAATAAACGATTGTCTGAGCATAGTTGCAACAGACGATCACCATTATCGGTTCGTTGAGCCGGAATACTAAAACACCCACCTAAATGTCTTTCTGTTTGATTTAGGCTGCCTACCTGGGCATTAAAGTCACCCGCTACGACTGCTATGTCTGAGCACTTAGCTTTCCGAAGAAGCTCAGAGAGCTTTCTGTAAAGGTCATCTTTCACTTCATCAGGGTTGCAGTCAGTGGGAGCGTAGGCAGAAACGACGAAAAGGCAACGACGAGTGTCCCTATCCTACCGAGTTCTTACGGATCCATTTAGCCGGACAGCACACAGGCGACTGTTAACGGGGATCCATTCTAGTAGTGCCTGTTCTGCCCTTGTACTTAGTGCTATGCCTACACCTGCAAGTCCGCGAGAACTAGCCAACGGGTCGCCAGATACACGGAGAGTGTATTTCGTTGGCGCTCCATTTTGGCGAGGTGAGGTCAAGTGAATGACCACACTAGGATCCTGTATGTGTGTTTCGGAGACACAGCATACATCAATGGGACGAGATTCTAGGGTTTTAGCTAAGGAAGCCTGTTGACCGATTTGACTTAGGGTACATACGTTGAAGGCTCCAATGTGTAGTTTGGAGCGAGGTTTTAGTAGACCTGGGACAGCGTTTCGCGCACTAGAATCGTTTGCTATGGTGACACTTGAGGAGAAAACCGAAAGAGGAAGTTTAGTGTTGAAAGTCAAGATAGAAGGAATAGTAGGAATTGAAGAAGGAGATTGATTATGAGTACAGTGGTCTTGAGTGCTGTTAGAGGTATGAGAGCAGTTATAACTTCCCGGTTGCCCACATCGTGGAAGGGTTCTTCCAGAGGTACCTGAAAAGGAAATTAGGTTAGAAGTGGTCTTAATGACCTGAGGGTGTGACCGCAGTGCCCAAGGGACAACTGCTTGAGGTCGGTCACACACGACCTTTTTGTGGGGGATTTTGTGTTAGCTCCGTTCTTCAAAGGACCTTACCGCCGGAGACGGATATCCGTGCGATAAGGCGAGGTGTGCATTTTTAGGGTCGACCTTTTCTAACCCCACCCCTTCTTGTGGGAAGGCAGCATCTCTGTCATGCTGGTTGTCTGAAGGAAACCTTACTGCTGTCACACCTATTTACAGTCAGCAGTACGACTTCTCCTTCGGACCTTGGGTTTGCTGCTTTTAGTCTCACCGCTGTTCAAACGACCTGCCTGGCATGGTAGGACCTTGAGGAACGATTGTTCCAGCCAGTATAGCTCGATTGGTTCATCACGATAGGCAAACCCGACCACCACGTCAAGGTAGCAGCAACAGTCGGGGTGCAACGTAATATTTAGAAAATAACTAGAACTAACTTTATTTGAGAGCTCAGGATCTTGTACTATGTGGGGTTGTGTGTGTCTCATTGCTAACTGATAAGTCCCAAGTTAGAACGTACTAGCTCCCCAGTAATTCTCAGTGATACAAACTAACTTCAAAATTAAAGGATTTTGATAAAATCTCCATTTTAAAAGATAATTACTTTCAATCTTTAGCTTGATAATTTATTTAGGGGTATGTACCTCACTCTTGCCTTTACATTTCATGAGCTGCATACGAAAAGAAAGGGAGCAAAATAATCCCTGCTGACGGGTGAATCCTATTTATACTGAACAGGGGGCCTGATACGCAGCGATTTTAAAACCTATTATACGTAATTTTGTCGTTCACACTTATATACCTTCAGAAAAATAGCCACACCTCTCAGAATCATTGATATAATAGTATTAGCAGCACATAGGTTCAAAATTGTAGGTAATGAAGTTAAATTAATCACTAAAGTCATAACTCTTCAACAGTGGGAAAATTCAGTTTTTCGAGAACGTGTCAATCTTCAGTTGAGCCGAAGCAAGTATTGGATACATTAGAAAAAACTCATGAACTTACAAATTTGTAATATAAGACAAAAATACGGAAATTTATTTTTCAAAAAAGGAAATACTACTTTAGCTAAATACAATTATAGATTTTTTAAGTAGTATAGGTCAATTCGATTGACTACTATTTTAGGAAGGTTTAATTTCAATTTATCATATTTTTCTCTGTATTGCTTTTTTAAACTTAATTAAACTAAATTTACTCGTATATAGTAAATTGTAACGAAAATCTTTAGATAACATTAAGATATTTACGGAAACAGTAAAGCGTTCTTAGAGAGATAATCACACTCGTCAACTGGTAGAAATAAGTTCTCTCAATTTATAGGATAAAATTACTGTAAAGACAATTTAAAATTTGATTAAAGAAATTAAATCACCAAGTAAGAATCCTGAAAAAAGTATATACGAAAAAAAGCTTACTCCAGTCTGTACGAACAACATCTATGCTTATTGAAGCTAATGTAGATAGTTGATGTTCGGACATTAAACCCATTACGTACAACTTTTTCCAATTTTCCTTAAGAGTATCATACTGTTGGGCTTTGATATCCAGTAAGTGAAAACGTTCTTGACCGGTTGTGTCCGCTGGACAAACTGATAATAATATACGCCAGCCAACCTTACGTAAACTGTGCTCTAGACCATTTAGATAAACATCTAGGCTGAGAAAAAAATAATTTACTTGACATACTATACATATTGTACTTATAATCAGAGAATGTATAGGTTATTTTATAAACTCTGTACTTAACTATTTTATTTTATGAGACAGGACCAGTAATCATAATTAAAGAGTTACCGCAAAATATCACAAACACTTTGAACTATTCAATTAACCTGTAGAATTACGAATATTATTGTTACGGTAGTAGTCAATGAGAAAGTAACAAGGTCAAGGATTACGTTAGGAAAGCAGCTACTTGAAACATGTGTAGGATAGCAATAACCACACGATTATAGATGGAAATAACACCAAATTACATTCAAAATCAACAGACTAGACTGGTATCTACATCCCAGAAATCTCCATAGGACCATCCGTTTTTTTCAATTTTGTGCTGATACTGTCCAGAAAGGGGTGAGACTATAATTTATGGACAACCTTTAAGCGACTCAAGACTGACTTTGAGAGTGTCCACCTAATAAATACAACCAAACGAGGGTTATAAACATGTGTGAGGAATTTGAATTATGATTTACAGTTGATGGTTAAGGTTAGAAATTATATTTAAGGTTTTCATCCGGAACTGACATCAGCTATAATGACAAAACGATGAGTGAAGTTCGCGCTGAAATCTGAGACCTGTTATCTTATACCTGATTGGTTCGTCCATAGATTATAGTCTCGCCCGGAAAGGCTAAGACGGTTAAGTAAAACAACTTTAAAAATATAACCTACAAGCCGAAATCAACGTTGGCCTTAATCTTGTGAATCAGAAGTTGGAAACAGAATATTGAGCCACATATCTACAAAACACCTCGACGACATAAATGTTAAGTTTTACTTATTTTAAAGAGTAAATCAATCTCAACTAACAGAGAAGCTGAATTTAAAAATGATAACAAATTGTAGAAATGAGTTGTCAAAATTTTGTACAGGACATTAAATCTTAAGTGAAACAATATAGTCTGCATTATTTTATAGAATCATTAAAAAGCAGTTAAGTGCTTCATTGACAACGTTCGTTTAAGTAGTTTAGTGAAATTAAGATTGTTAAGACTCTATGCTGAAATGAGTTAAAGCAATCTGACTTCTAATAAGTAAGTTGTCAGTTTGAACTCTGCTCCACCTAATTCAGTTTGGGTAATCAAGCCGCTATATCCTAGGCATAAAACACGTGGCTTAGAATGAAGTAAATACATCCTTATTCAGTGAACAATTTATATTACACTGAAATTAATTTTGGAGTATTATACCGTGCAACACTCAGGAAATAACATAAATAAATTACATTTTTTCCTGAAATGTAGGGAAAACAGGTTCTGTAATATGTTGGAAGGGCTTTTCCTAACCGTTTGAAGAAGTTATTGAAAAGATTCCATTAACCTTTGTTAAACTAAGGCTTATCCTTAGGAAATTGTAAGACTGCTGTATTTAAACCCAATTTAGTTTGATAAATCAACAATAAATTAAAACTGAATGTAATATGTAGTACTTACTAGAATTGATTTAGATATATAATGCGTCCATTATCATCCATGTATAATCTCATTTGTGTATCTGATATCGGAGGATGGATAGTGTGAAACATATCATCTCCATCCATTACAATTCCTGAAACAGTAAAAACAGTGTAGAAAAGTAACATTGTTAATTTACACATAAGGCTCTAATATACAACTAATTTGTGAGGTTAGTGATACCATCCGATTACCTAAACTACTACAAGTGGGATAGAAATTTAAAGATGTGGCTCAGTGTTAGGAAGTCAAATGGATGATCCACTGTACCACAATTCTGTTTGAACGACGCTATTTGAGAATAACTACGCTATTTTATCGAGGCAAACGGGAAATTAGATCGAGATTAATGTCTCAAATTACAATGAACATCATCAATGAAGCAAAAATACAGAAGCCCTTGATTGCTACGTATTCTTTGAATTACATCACTTTTCAGTACGAATTTTTCTAACAGTCAATCATTTAGCAACAATGTAGAACTTTGTACCTACGTACATCAGTCCGAGTTGCCATACCACATTAGCACAGAGATGCAGTTGTCGATTCAAATCCCATAGTGGTAGAGATAGTAAGAGTATAAGCAGCAATTGGAAAGATTAGGGTTTGAAGATGTTATTCAAGGAGTATAATCCAGTGAAATAAATTTAGAAAGAGAAGAAAGCGACATGAAGAATTCAGAAGACTGGAATTTCGGAGAACACAAAGAGTGGATGCACCTCCGCAATTGCAAACGCTTTTGAGCCATGTCATTCAAGGTCTCTAACCATCGGTTGCTATCATCTCGCGAATCCCAATCAGGTAGTCTACACCTACAAACATGGATCAGTCCAATTGTCAGTGACTTCATTGATTTGTGCTACGTTTTAGTCTGGCCACCCCTAGCTTTCTTCCAACTAATACTACACCATAAAACATCGCACGTCGGGGCAGTCAGTGGTTGGGCATACGTAACACGTGTCCCAGCCATCTCAACTGATGAAGTTTCACTACTAGTAGCCTACGAATACCCTCTACTCTTACTCGCCATGTTTCACTGCACAGTAAACCTTTCCTGTGGTTAGGCGTCAAAGTATTGTTGAAGCTAATATTTTAGACACTATATTAGTCAAACTGACTCCTCTGTGATTGTCACAAGAGGACTTTTGTCCTTTCTTATAGACTGGCACAATCAGTGATTGGGACCAGTCAGATGGAATTACGTCCAGTTCCCAGATTCTACCTAAGACCTCAGTCAATCTCGCTGCAAGTACTGGACCACCATCCTTAAAAATCTCAGGAGTAAAGCTGTCATAGCTTGCTGCTCTCCCTCGCTTCAGATTTCCTATAGCTTTTTCAACCTCGTAAGAGTTGGAGGACTTACATCAATTTGCCATTTAGGACGACTTGGGATCGTGGGTAACTGAAGTGTGGCTGAAGGCCAGTTGAACTGATCTCTAAAGTGTTCTGTCCATCGATCCAATCTCCTGGATTGAGAATGAATGATATGCCCACCTTTTTCCGAGATAGTTTCGTTGACAGTTGGGTTCCTAATACCGGTTTCTTTTTAATAAGTCTGAATAGTTGTCTGCTGTGACCTATTGCCACCGCCTTTTCCATCTTTCTTGCTTTCGCTACCCATCACTGTTCACGATCATTGCGCAGGCTTCTTATTAGCCTGCGCTTAAGCTGACTCCGTTCTTCATCATGTTCAGAACCAGATGGGATGAGTTTTCGAGCGTCTATCAGTGAGGTAGATGCTGCTGAGATTCAATATTTCTCCCTAACCTTATAGTTTACCATACTAGTAGATATCACTGTTGTTTCCGCAGCTTTTCGGATGTCATTCCACGCTGTCTCGGGGTGGGCACAACTTATATGGCTGCCTAACTGTTTTTCTAGCTGTTCCTGAATATATTCTTAGCTTGGCTATCATTAAGTAGAACCCTAAGGAGTTTCCTTGCAGTGTCTCTCCTACGTCCAGTAAGACGCAGACAAATATCCGCTCGCACTAGAGTATGATCTGAATCTAAGCATGTGCTCCAGAATGAGCGACAGTCTTCTGTCGAGCCTCTCCACATGTGGCTGATAGCGATGTGATCTATTCGGGTCCAACGTTGGGACGAATTCGAGGGTTGCCATATCAAAAGATGTATTTCCTTATGCTTAAAGTTAGTATTTGCAAGAAACAGGTGGTTATCTGGGCATAACTGCAACAGACGGTCGCCACCATCTGTACAAATATTAATTTCTATTTTATGGTGTGGTGTGGTCTGCCTGTCTGGTATATAGACAAAGTATGTTTGAAATAAACGATTCGCATTACAGCAGCTGCTATTGGTGTTTTGGACTCAAGTGGACGGGTTAGGTGGATAAGGGCCAATAAGGACGCTGGATTACTCATACTAATCGGACGTCATTGTCACAGTGTGAAGGTCGTAGAAGTCATATTCTATTGGTGGACAATTTACGCGAATTACGTCTTTGTTAAATTCGTAAGGTCATAACGAATCAGCGACGACCTTGATCAAGTCATAACAATTGGATACCGCCTAGGTCAAAAACAACAAATTGGCGACAGCTAGGTCAAGTCATAACACCATGACACCGTAAGATCAACCCAGGTGTTTTTCCCTTGAGCATTAAAGTCACCAGTCAACTATTACTACGTCAGAACGCCTAGCTTTTCGGAGAAGGTCAGAAAGCTTTCTGTAAAACTCATCTTTTACATCATCTGAACTGCAATCAGTGGGAGAGTAGGCAAAGACGGCGAAGAGATAACGACGAGTATCCCTATCTTTCCGGGTCCTTACTGCTCCGTTTAGTCGGACAGCACACAGATGACTGTCTAGTGGGATCCAGTCTAAAAGAGCCAGTTCTGCTCTAGGACTCAATGCTATACCTATGCCAGCGAGGCCACGGGAAGCAGCATCAGGGCTTCCAGATACACGAAGTGTGAATCGAGTTGGTTCTTTATTATTACATAGTGAGGTCAAGTGGATGACGCTACTCGGACTTTGTATGCGCGTTTCGGAGACACAGCATAAATCGATGGCGCGAGATTCTAAAGTCCTAGCTAAGGAAGCCTGTTGTCCTATTTGGCAGTATTCGGACGTTAAATGCTCCTACATGTAGTTTAGAGAGTGGTTTCAGGAGACCAGGAATAACGTTCCGCGTACTCGGACGGTTTGCATTAGAGGTGCGAGGTGATAAAGGAACGTGAGAAGGGTTACTCGTGGAGATAAGAGTGTTATTAGGTGTAGGAAGGATTTGAAAGTGACCAACTTGGTCTCGTGTGCTGTTACGGGTATGAGGGCTGACGTCACTTCCCGGCTGCCCACACGGTTGAACGGTATTTCTTGAGGAACGTGAAAAGGAAGTTGGATTAGTGTTGATCTAAATGATCTAGAAGTGTAACCACAGAACCCAAGGGACAACTGCTTGAGGCCAGTCATGCAAGGCCTTTTTGTAGAGAGTTTTTAACGTGTTAGCTCCGTTTCTAAAAAGGCCTTACCGCTGGAGACGGAAATCCGTGAGGTAAGATGAGGTGTGACATTTTTAGGGTCGACTTTTCCTAACTCCTTCCTTTCTTGTGAGAAGGCAGCATTGCTGAAGATGTTTGTTTTCCGAGGGAGACACCTTACTTCTGTCATGCCCCTCTACAATCAGCAGTACGACTTCGCCCTCAGACCCTGAGTTGCTGGTTTTAGTTTTACAGTTCTCCAATCGACCTGCCTGGCATATTAGAACCTACAGAAACATATGTTCCAGCCAGTATAGCTCGGTTGGGTCATCACGATTGGCAAGCCGGAGAACTACGGTTTTCTAACAGTTATCACGTATTGATTTAGAATTTGGCTTGAAACAAATTACCGGAATAAAACAAGTTTAAATCAAGACTACGTTTATATTCCGATTGAGTTACTTCCTAATACGTTCCTATGGAAGACTTTCCTTTACTAGTTAAGACATCCTCATCAATTTAAGTTACAAGAAGTATTGAACAATCTAGTACTGGACATTAGATATTAATTTAATCGAGATTTAGGCTACAGAAAATTTTTATCATATAGTTAACCTTGTTTTTTTTACCCTATAAAAGAAGTGTATAAACGGGTGAATTAAATCTTACCTATAGCCTTGCGCACATTTGCAACAGTTTTTTCAAATCGTTGAGTAATTTGTGAAAAAAGTGATGGTCCTTTAAAATCATTGAATGTTAGATCATTTTTTGTATCATTTTGTGACTTTCTTCTTCTGGAGATAGACTGAACACCACTTGGAATAATAATATCCCAGTCTTGAAGATCTAATTTGGAATAGAGAGATGATGTATAGAATGAAGTGAACTATTCAAAAGTAAAACACATGATTAACCCCAAAACTGTGAAGAACACTTATTTTTATTTTCGACCTAAAAAAATTATAGTCCGTAAATTAACTAGCTCTTATTTAATTATAGATACCGGTAATTCGAACAAAATAGGTTTTTAACCCTGAACACTATTTAAATATTGAACATGATAAGAATAGAAACATTGGGAAAGTTTATTTATTTATTTAAACACAAATATTGGTACAAGGAAGCACCAGATAAATATGCGCCTCACAAATCTCATTCGATTTGTGTGAGGGCTGTGATACTGCCCAGGTGCCCAGACTGAAGCAGGTGGTTTTCTTAGGGGGCCACACTCGGACCCTTTGAACTAAAGGTCTAGTCCACAAGGCAGTGGAGCATCGTAAGGAGATGCAGTCCCATGGTAGCCGGTCACCAACAGTTGGTTCATACGCCATTCGTTCCTTCAGAATCCTGGAGCCCATGTGCACCATTGGTTTGGAATCAAGGTTTTCCAACTCCCCTAGGTGGATCCTCCACATCCACCAACCCGGTTAAAGCGTCGGACATTCGCTTTTCGTCCTCTCACTTTTGTGAACAACACCACCGCCACGGGAAGCCAGTGAGTAGGACTTCCCTGGCAGAGGCTATATATTCGCGTGGCCATATGAGAGCATTTCGAGAGGGAGAGCAGACTCTCCCCACTCTCGGCCGTACCAGGGCATCTGGGAAAGTTGAAAATGGGAACTTCTAGTTCCACTTGAAACGATATGTACCTTGCTAACAGTTCTGAAATAAGATAAGTCAGAACTGTCAAATGAAAGATGGTGATTTTACTGAAAATCTGGATTACAAACGACAATTTAATACTGGGATCGGATTGTAAGTAAGAGTATTAATCAGAAGAATGGTCGAAATGATAATTAATGTATAATATGAGTTAATCCGTTCGACTCTAATTTGAAATGACTTATAACCATATTTTCCTAGTAATTTTTTCGCAAACCTGTAATAAGCAAATCATTTAGAAAACAATAAATACAGTATATATTTGGAGTGACTAGTACAGTGTACTTGATGAGAATGCACTTGCCTTTGGCTTTCATAATCCAAATGGGACTGCAGATCACAGAGGTTGTGAAGATATTTTAACCGACTGATGGAAGATTCAAAACCTGTTCTGCTTACTGTTGTATAGATAGGATGAGATGTAGAATCTACACAACAAGTGTAGGATTAATCTTAGTACGAGATCTTGTTACATGGAAACTATCAAAATCCAAGTGACCGAGTCGCTAAGAAACTTTTCCCAGAAGTTTTACATTATCCTACTTTACTGTATTTAAATCATTCACTACGCAAATGCATTTAAAAAACAAAAATTTTAAAAAAAAACATACCAGACACTTTAGGCTTCAGGGTTATTTTAAGTCGTAAAGTAGAATCAGATGACGTGACTATCGACGCATCCAGATCCCAGTCGGATTGTAACGGTAAATAAAACTGCTCACCGAATTCATCAATAGCCAAGTAACAAACCGAAAAATCACTAAAATCAGACCAACAAATAATACAGTTTCTTTTATGTTGTTTGTTAAATGTGTGATAAACACATGTGTGAATCATTTCAACAGATATAAATAATAAGGAATATTGACCAGATACAATGTAAGGATTTCCTTTACTGCATGTATACTGTATTTAACACGTAGAAGTAAAAATATTAAGTCACTTGACTTTAAATAATCAGGATGCATAGAGTAATGATAGATTTCGTCATTTATAAACTAATCCATGTCAAATGAGGAAGTCATACCATGACTAACGTGGTTTCGCAAATAGAGATAATGAAACTGAGGTAAAGGATGAAGACTCGCTTCTAAGACAAATTCGTTCCAAAAAAACTTTCCACAGTAGCATAGCAATATGAAATGTAAAGTTAGTTGGAAAGTATTTCTACAGTTATTGCGCTGAAAAGCACAGCGTGAATATCGTAAGTATTGAAGGGCATTTTAGCATTAGATTTTCTTTTATCTTAAAAGTGTTTCGTTATTTACATTAAAAATAACCTTAACATAGGTATTTATGTTTGCTAAATAAAATTTTAAATACAATTGTGAACTTGCTTCATACCTTATTTAAGAAATAGTTCCTTTCACAACCACATATTTTACACTATTTTGACAGGACGATAAAGTATTTGCAGTCGAAAAGACAGATTGAAATAAACCACACAAGTGTTTGAAATCCATTGCAAACATCGTAAATAAAAGGAGCGTTTATTATCAGGGATACGATTTTTGAGCATTGGATACAAATATGAGAGGATCTGTCTCCCCAAAATGCCCTGCTTCGGCCGAGAGTGGGAAGGGCCCGTCCTCCCTCTCTCGAAATGCTTTCACACGGCAACACATACACAGCCTTTGCCAGAGATATCCTACTCACTACCTCCTTGTGGTGTGGGTGTTGCATACGAAATTGAAAAGAAAAAAGCGAATATCCGGCTCTTTAACTGGGTTGGTGGACACGGAAAGTCCACCTAGGGAAGTTGGAAAACCCTGATTCCAAACCAATGGTGCACATGGGCTTCACGATCCTGATGGAACGAAAGGCGTATGAACCAATTGTTGGTCACTAACTACCATGGGGCTGAATCTCCTTACGTTGCTCCACTGACTTGTGGATCAGACATTTAGGTCGAAGGCTCCGGGTGTGACCCTCTAAGAAAACTACCTTCTTTGGTCTGGGCATCCGGGAAGTATCATGGCCCTCATACAATTAAAATGAAATGACAACTTTTTGTGTAGCGCAAATGTATGCATTGTCCCTTTGTACTAATATTTATGTGTTTAAATAAATAAATAAATAATAAACATTTGTTTTGTGCACTCTACCTAGCAATTATTTAATAGGGCTTGTAGTAAAAACTGTCGATATGTCATTTTTTTAGTCTGAGGACCGTTCAACCCCAAATATAGTTGAATCAATAGGACACCTAGAAATCATGACCAAACATGTGCGGTAAATATTATGTTAATTCAGCCGATATGTATCTACATCACATGAAGTCTTTCTTGCTATTAATCCTCCTTCTAGACACAAACTTATTTAATCCCCAAATCGACTTAATTCTGTCGATGCTAGATTTAACACCATGACTAAATGGGAAGGTCATGGCAAAAATTTGTGATCATCTGCTTTGTTTATTCATGAGATCTTTCACATTATAAGATACCACTAAATGACTATGTTCAAAAGTCTGCTAATAGAGAAATAGTTTACCAGTTAATATCAAAGCATTTACGCAGCAAACCCAGAAGAACTTTGTAATCTGTAATATTTGGATCGATTGCGAATTTCTTATATTGGTCAGTACCACTTTCTGTGCTAAGCTGAAAGATTTAAGCCATGAAAACGTATTGATCTTACTTTGGCTTTAATGTATACAACTTCTCGAGAACTTCTTTCTAAACTCATTTCGTTCATTAGTCTGTATTCACCAAATATGCTGAACAAGCTAAAAATAAAAAAATCGTTCTTATAGTCACACAGATCTTCGTTTTCAGAATCGATTACGAGAAGAGAAAGAGAAGCCTTTACAAAGTCATGAAAGTGATAAAAAGCTGGTGACAAATACATTAAGAAAATTTAATAATATTACGTCAGGTTTCCATTTCACGCGTATTATGAAAGCTTGAAAGTAAAAAAGTAGACTCATCTAATCAAAATGGTATGGAGCAAACTCGGGTGACCATCTACAAAAGAATAAATTTAGAAATAAAAAGTTGACAGACTCATTATTTCATCAACTAGCTGTCCAAGAATTGATCTCTAGCCAGAAAATTCACTCGTTAACTTAAAATACATAGATATATTTATGCTTAGTAAATACTTGGACAAAAGACAGTCTTTTGAATACCTTAAGGAATAATGAAAGAATGTTTGGGATGAACTTATCTCTTTCTAGACGCAAAATTTTGCATTACGACCGATTTATGTCAACCCCTGAAATAATGATAGGGAGTGAAGTACTTGGGTGGGTATACCACTTGTCCTGAAGGTTTCACCTCAAAGGTCATTGTCTGGTGAAATCACGGTGAGCATTCAGAAAGTTCGGTTGGCTTTTGTTAAATTACGTCATCCGTAGTGTGGGCAACATGTCTCTCTGCCAACCAAAAGACGAGTATACCTAGTTGTAGTTCGTTGTGTCCCACTTTATGGTTGTAAAACGTGGTCTTTAAATAGAGGATATTCGTAGGTAAATAGTATCTGATTATAGATACATTTGAAGCATTGGTTGGGTAAGTTGAGAATACCGGATGAGCAATGTCAAGAATAGATGCAAGATACTAGTTCAGTCAGTCAGTCAGTCACAACGTAGAACTTCGTACGTACGTACATCAGTTCGAGTTGCCATACCACATTAGCACAGAGATGCAGTTGTCGATTCAAATCCCATAGTGGTAGAAGTAGTAGGAGTATAATCAGAAATCCAAAAGATTAGGGTTTGAAGAAATTATTGAAGGAGTATAGTACAGTGAAATAAATTTGGAAAGAGAAAAAGATAAAGACATGAGGAATTCAGAAGATTGGAATTTCGGAGAACACAAAGAGTGGATGCACCTTCGCCATTGCAAACGAAGGTCTCTAACCATCGGTTGCTATCATCTCGCGAATCCCAATCAGGTAGTCTACACCTACCAACATGGCCCAGGCCACTTGTCAGTGACTTCATTGATTTGTGCCACGTTTTGGTCTGGCCACCCCTAGATTTCTTCCAACCTACTCCTACACCATGAAACATTGCAAGTCGGGGCAGCCGGTGGTCGGGCATACGTAACACATGTCAGCCATCTCAACTGATGAAGTTTCACTACTTCATCAATCGATTTGCCATCATTACCTAGTACTCGTTTCCTAACAACTGCATTACTTACCCGATGGTCCCAGGATATACGAGCAATGCTTCGAAGACACCTATGATCGAACACTAGTAGCCTACGAATATCTCTACTCTTATTGGCCATGTTTCACTGCCATAAAGTAGGACGGAGCGAACTGCTGCACAGTAAACCCGTCCTTTGGTTGCTAGACGGATATATCGCCTACGCCATAAATGACGCAAGTTGGCGAAAGCTAGACGAGCCTTCCGTATCCGTGCTGAGATTTCGTCACACACCAGACCACAAGGGCTGATCAGACTCCCAAGATAAGTGAAGCTGTCAACACGCTCAACTACTTCACTCAATATCATTAGTTCAGGTGTCGATGCAACCCATTCATGAAGTAACATTTTGCACTTCGAGGGAGAGAATCGCATTCCGAACATGCCTGCATAGTTGCTTATAGTGGTCAGAAGACTCTGCATGTTGTCAGCGTCTTCACCGAGTAAAACTATGTCGTCACCGTATTCTAAGTCAACAAGTGAATCTCCCGGTGAAAGTTCAACTCCTGGAAGTTTAGCTGATGAAAGTGCTATCTCTAAAAGTATGTCAATGACAAAGTTAAACAAGAATGGGAAGAGTGGACAGCCCTGACGAACGCCACTTGTGGTAATCAGTTCTGATGACAGTTCGCCATAAGCTCTAACTCGACCAGTTGTGTTCGAGTAGAGAGCCTTTATGAGGTTAATGTACTTCTTTGGTACTCCTTTCAGTGACAAACACTGCCATAGAACCTCACGATCAACGGAGTCAAATGCCGCCTAAAGGTTAGTGTATCTTTTCACATGCATTCAGTATAAAATTCTTCTGAAGTTGAAGTTATTGAAATGTGATTAGTACTGATTAGAAATGCAATCCGTGTATAAAGAGTAGTGTTATGAATAAGACATATTCTTCGCAGTCAGGGCTAGATTGAAAATATTGGGAAATATCGTTAACGTAAAATTTTAGGCGTTCGAAAACCGCACTCGCACACCTCGTTCACCGCCACGCCGGTATCTTCGTATCGTGCATTGAAAGTGAACGTTATAAAGGTGAAAACAATCTCTTCCGGTCGAAGATGCAACAGTTTATGATAGTGAATGAGGGAGATTAGTAAATCCACATGGTTCGAATCAATACTAAATGGCTTTACAGAACAAGATTATAAAGCTAAGTATAGATAACAGAAGAATAAATATCACTCATTCAGTCAGATCGGACGAGAACCGTGCTTTCAACGTGGTATGGTCGCCGGCCCGTAGCTCCTCTGGGGGTTGCTGCCGGTCCCAAGCCCGGGTAAAGGAGGAGGGTTGGGCATGGGGTTAGCGACCCCATCCCGTAGAAAATCAACTCGCTAAAAAAACGCTAACCAGAAAAAATCATTCAAACCATTTAAACTCTGCCCTGGGAGTAGAAGGAATAATTATGACGTCACATGATGAAAGCCGAGTTCATTCGGAAGTCATGAGGCCGATGCACCTTCTTACAACCAGAGGTACATGGAATGTCCGGACAATGTGGGAGACCGGAAGAGTCTTCCAAATCGCTGCAGAAATGAGAAAATACAACCTGGAGGAGCTTGGAATCAGTGAAACGCATTGGACGCAGGTTGGACAACAAGGTCTGTCTTCAGGAGAACTTCTGTTATACTCCGGTCATGAAGAAGAAAACGCCCCACATACACAAGGAGTTGCATTGATGCTGTCCAGAAAAGCATAAAATGCACTTATAGGATGAGAATCTCATGGACCAAGGATCATCAAAGCCACCTTCAAAACAAAGAGAGAGGGCAATACAATGAACGTCATCCAATGCTATGCGCCGACCAACGACTACGATGAAGACGCTAAAGACCAATTCTACGATAGGCTGCAGTCGATCTTCGAGAAGTGCCCAACCAAAGACCTGACCATTCTGATGGGAGATCTTAATGCCAAGGTTGGAAAGCACAACACTGGATACGAAGACGTCATGGGACAACATGGACTGGGAGGAAGGAACGAAAATGGCGAGAGATTTGCAAACTTATGTGCCTTCAATAAACTGGTCATAGGTGGCACCATATTCCCACACAAAAACATACACAAAGCCACTTGGATTTCACCGGATCACACTACACAGAATCAAATCGACCATATCTGCATCAACAAAAAGTTCAGGAGGACGATGGAGGATGTGAGAACCAGAAGAGGAGCTGATATAGCATCCGATCATCATTTGCTGGTCGCCAAGATCAAACTAAAACTCAAGAAGCACTGGACAACGGTGCGGTCAACATCACAAAAGTTTAATACGGCCTTTCTTCGAGATGCTGACAAACTCAACAAATTCAACATAGCCCTCAGCAACAGGTTCCAGGCCTTTCATGATCTACTCAATGGAGAGGAAACCACCATAGAGAGCAGCTGGAAAGGTATCAAGGAGGCAATCGTTTCAACATTTCAGGAGGTTCTGGGCCAAAAGAAGCACCATCACAAGGAATGGATCACTGTTGGTACACTGGATAAAATTGAAGCAAGGAGGAACAAGAAGGTAGCAATCAATATCAGCCGAACAAGAGAGGAAAAAGCCAAGGCACAAGCCAAATACACAGAGGCAAACAAGCAAGTGAAGAGGAGCATCAGAACCGACAAACGTAAATATGTGGAAGATTTAGCGATGACAGCGGAAAAGGCTGCAAGAGAGGGAAACATGAGACAACTGTGATACAACAAAGAAAGTTGCTGGAAATTACCGTAAACCAGAAAGACCAGTGAAAAGCAAGGAAGGCAAAGTAATCACCGACATTGATGAACAACGAAACAGGTGGGTAGACCACTTCAAAGAACTCTTGAATCGACCAGCTCCACTGAACCCACCCAACATCGAAGCAGCACCCACAGACCTCCCAATCGATGTTGGCCCACCAACAATTGAAGAGATCAGCATGGCCATTAGACAAATCAAGAGCGGCAAAGCAGCGGGACCAGACAACATCCCGGCAGAGGCACTGAAAGCAAATGTAGCAGCAACTGCCAAGATATTCCACATCCTCTTCAGTAAGATTTGGGACGAAGAACAAGTACCAACAGACTGGAAAAAATGACTTCTGATCAAGATACCAAAGAAAGGCGATCTCAGCAAGTGCGACAACTACAGGGGCGTCACTCTCCTCTCAATACCACGAAAAGTCTTCAACAGAGTATTGTTAAGCAGGATGAAGGATTCTGTGGACGCCCAACTTCGAGATCAACAAGCTGGATTTCGTAAGGATAGATCGTGTACAGATCAAATCGCAACTCTACGTATCATTGTGGAACAGTCAATCGAATGGAATTCATCACTCTACATCAACTTCATCGACTACGAGAAGGTATTTGATAGCGTGGACAGGAAGACACTATGGAGGCTTCTTCGACACTACGGCGTGCCTGAGAAGATAGTCAATATCATACGGAACTCCTATGATGGACTTAACTGCCAAATCGTCCACGGAGGACAACTCACCGACTCGTTTGAAGTAAAGACTGGTGTTAGGCAAGGTTGCTTACTCTTACCGTTTCTCTTTCTCTTGGTAATCGGCTGGATTATGAAGACGTCAACGACTGGAGGAAAGCACGGGATACAGTGGACAGACAGGATGCAACTTGACGATCTAGACTTCGCGGATGATCTGGCTCTTCTATCACAAACGCAACAACAAATGCAGGAGAAAACGACCAATGTAACAGCAGCCTCAGCAGCAGTAGGTCTCAATATAAACAAAGGGAAAAGCAAGACTCTCCGATACAATACAATATGCACCAATCAAATTACACTTGACAGAGAAACTTTGGAGGATGTGAAAACCTTTACATATCTGGGAAGCATCATTGATGAACACGGTGGATCAGATGTGAGGGCGCGGATCGGCAAAGCAAGAGCAGCATACTTACAACTGAAAAACATCTGGGGCTCAAAACAATTGTCAACCAATACCAAGGTTAGAATTTTCAATACAAATGTGAAGACAGTTCTACTGTATGGAGCGGAGACGTGGAGAACTACGAAAGCCATTATCCAGAAGATACAAGTGTTTATCAACAGCTGTCTACGCAAGATACTTCGGATCCGATGGCCAGACACTATCAGCAACAAGTTACTGTGGAGACAACAAACCAGATTCCAGCAGAGGAAGAAATCAGGAAGAAGCGTTGGAAGTGGATAAGACACACTTTGAGGAAACCACCCAATTGTGTCACAAGACGAGCCCTCGCATGGAATCCTGGAGGTCAAAGGAGAAGAGGAAGACCAAAGAACACATTGCGTCGAGAAATAGAGACAGACATGAGAAGAATGAACAAGAACTGGATAGAACTAGAAAAGAAGGCTCAGGACAGAGTGGGTTGGAGAATGCTGGTCGGCAGCCTATGCTCCATTGGGAGTAACAGGCGAAAGTAAAGTAAGTAAGTATTCAGTCAGATCAATAAAGTTATCAAAGTAATACAAAATACAATCAGCGACAGTTTTGTCACGTGAAACCAAATGGTCTTTTTAATCATGAAACAGAATGACACGCTTCACACTAAAATAAAACTGGGTTCCAATAAATGATAGGATTAAACTTGTTGATGTTTCATTTACAGGTTTAAGTGAAGCTTTCGATAGCGTCTGGTGACGAAGCCTTAGAGAAATACTAAAAAGCCTTGAAATAAGTTTAGGTAATGGATTAAAAGGAATCTTTGAAAAAGAAGATGTAGCGTATATTAAAATGTCCTTACAAAAAGTATTTACAGGCGGAAATACCTGAAGGTAATGTTTTGCTATTGTTGTTCAAGTTGTGAAAAGAATATTCCCACTTTTATGATAAAAATATATTAAGAATTATTAAAAGTATGGTAGTTAAGACAATGAACCTTTGTTTAATATAAGAGGCTATAAAGGGTGGGAACTAAAGTGACAGAGAGACATCGTAGTATAACCGAATGATAAAAAAACTGGAAATTTTTTACCATTTTCTTGTGAGTCAGGAGGGGAACTGAAGAGGTAATATTAAAATATTTGAAATCTCAAGATGGAAATATTTATGATCAAAAATATGCTTTCTCTAAGAAGACAAAAATTCGACAGCACCAATAGATCAACGGTTAATTATGAATATACAGGTTTTTATTCTTACTCCTGAGGGTTAAAATGGAACAGCAGAGGTTTCGCAAAAAATATAATTGCCATACTCGATTTGAAGAAGACCTGTTCAATATTTAAAAATTTAAGCTAATGAAACACAAAGCATAGCTAACCAAATTTCCGTTTTAAATTTCTTGTATTTGGTCTTACATCGTGATATGACAGTAAAAGTATCAACTGGTATCAGTGAGACGGATTAACAAAATTGGTTTTTAAAACTGCTTGGGATGTTTAAGTACGTTCATTTTTTATTTTTGTTCTACAAACAAACAGACTAATTTATTGTGAAAATTCATTTCGCCAGTAAACCTAACCCTAACTAAACAGTAGAAAAATTAAAGAAGACACTCTTGCGGAAAATTCGGTACAAATTAAAAGGAAATGCGCCAAAACGTTTCCTTTGTCATCTGCAATAGGAGGACAGTAAGACCTCTTTAATTTATTCCTGGATGAGAAGTGTCTCAGAATTTGCACCAAATGGTCTACATTTCTGCTAAACAAGTACTCGCAATGCAATTTACTGTTAGCTTTTGTTCCTCCAAGGAGACCAACTTTTCTACACAGTCTATCGGATTTAGAAATATGGTAAATGTCTTAAAAGACATATATTCACAGAAATTGTAATCACAATCCATAAGAATACTAATAATGTTAGGGTGCTAGTAATGTGTTCGCAGTGTAAGTTATAAGTATGGCTATTATAAACTTAAACCCGAGAAAAATTTACCTGTGAATGCACGGTTTATGTAAAATTGTTTCCCACTTTAGACAAAATAATAAATCAAACAGACGTTTCGCACGTACACATAGGTCACAAAGGAAAAGTTGGCTGTGATAATTGTGTGCCGATGGGTCATTCACTGAACGATTGATAAACTAGTCCATTTTGCGTTGTGCTAAACGCAATCCTTCAGACTTCCACAGAAAACGTCGTACCTTAGACTACATCTCAGTAGGAAGCAACAGATTTTAGATAAGTCCTGCTTTATTTAGGCCCGGTGATTCTCAAAAATATTTTACCTGTACGTTTAGAAATGTTATAGAAATTTTATTCTAAATTGCAAAACAGTTTACTGGATTCTGTTACAGATGATTTAACTAATCTTTAAAAAATATGAATCGTGATACGCACCTACACATTTAATTTATGTGCATTCTTTAGAGCACTTTGCAGATAATTCAAGTCCGCATGGAGATATCAACTGTTATTTTACTTTTTTTTCGAGTTTTACATAAGCATGATAAAGAGAGCAATGTGGTAACGCACTATTTGATTCCGTACATAATATTTAGGGTAATGCTATTGATTGGCAGTGGTAATGAATTCTATCTGGAAATTGAAACAGTGCAGTGGATGATCAATAGCTAAACTATTAGCCCCCAAATGTTCTGGTACGGCTGAGAGTGGGAAGGGCCCGTCCTCCCTCTCTCGAAATGCTTTCACACGGCAACACATACACAGCCTTTGCCAGAGATATCCTACTCACTACCTCCTTGTGGTGTGGGTGTTGCATACGAAATTGAAAAGAAAAAAGCGAATATCCGGCTCTTTAACTGGGTTGGTGGACACGGAAAGTCCACCTAGGGAAGTTGGAAAACCCTGATTCCAAACCAATGGTGCACATGGGCTTCACGATCCTGATGGAACGAAAGGCGTATGAACCAATTGTTGGTCACTAACTACCATGGGGCTGAATCTCCTTACGTTGCTCCACTGACTTGTGGATCAGACATTTAGGTCGAAGGCTCCGGGTGTGACTCTCTAAGAAAACTACATGCTTTGGTCTGGGTACCTGGCTAGTGTCACAGCACACACACAAATCAAGTGGCTTGAGTGACGCATATGTATGTGGTGTTCCCTTGTACCATTATTTATGTGTTCAAGTTACGCACGGGAAATTTTATTTTGTAGTAGTTTGCAAGCTAGAGATATCATAGCTGCGACACAGAGCTCGGTCGACTATGATTCTAAGAAACAAACCATTATCTACATAGTAATTATTTTGACTTTACTAAGCCATGAAAACACAGTGATAGTACAAGGCAGGCTTGGATTAATTATTGATACAGGCAATAATAGATTGATCAAATTGTGATCTTTCCTTGACCCTATTGATTTTTTCACTGAAAAACTCGCTTCTGGTGACGTAAGAATACTTAAGTGGTTATCAGTTATTCAAAAGATAAAAGTTTTCTTAAGGTGATAGATTTAGCATTATTGTGAATTGCGATTACAATTTCTGTGAATATGTCTTTTAAAACATTTACCATATTTTTAAATCCGATAGACTGTGTAGAAAAGTCGGTCTCCTTGGAGGAACAAGAGCTGACAGTAAATTGCATTGCGAGTACTTGTTTAGCAGAAATGTAGACCATTTGGTGCAAATTCTGAGACACTTCTCATCCAGGAATAAATTAAAGAGGTCTTACTGTCCTCCTATTGCAGATGACAAAGGAAACGTTTTGGCGCATTTCCTTTTAATTTGTACTAAATTTTCCGGAACAATGTCGTTTCTGTTTCAGCAGTACTCGTTTTTCTGTAAATCGTATCGAATATCAAATGCAGTTGCATTGACACCATGTTCATTGATACGTGAAAATATAAACACACTATGACGAGAAAGAATGAAATCGAATTTGCTTTTGATACACGAAGAACTAATCTTTCTGTGAACAAACGTAAATCTTCATTGTTAACAACGTAGTCAACATTTGTATCAAAACTATACTTCAAAAACCTTTAGAATAATACACTTAAACCATCATATGATAATAGAAACCTTTTCATCAAATTTGTGACTGAAAGTCCCAAAAGCTTACTGTGTGTAAAATTAGAGTTCATTGAATGTAAGTAGTCACAACGGAAGAACCTCACTAATACTATGTACCGTCATATCCAATAGGCCCGCATCAACTTTTGAAAGTATGTTTCATGGGAATTCGAATGTAGATGAATTGAATATGAGAAAATATGTTATCAGTATTGAGTAAGGACTTTGGTGGATTCAAAAGCCTTCATATGTCTGGGCAGCATCATTGATGAGCACGGTGGAACAGATGCAGATGTGAAGACGGGAATCGGCAAAGCAAGAGCAGCATTTTTACAAGTGAAGAACATCTAGAACTCAAAACGTTTGTCGACCAACATGAAGATCAGAATTTTCAAAACAAATGTGATGACAGTTCTACTGTATGGGGCGGAGACTTGGAGAACTACGAAAAATGTCATCCGTAAGATGCAAGTTTTATTAATAGTTGTCTACGCAAGATACTTCGGATCTGTTGGTCAGATATTATCAGCAACAACCTATTGTGGGAGAGAACAAACCAGATCCCAGTGGAGGTAGAAGTCAGGAAGAAGCGCTGGATGTGGACAGAACATACATTGGGGAAAGCATCCGACTGAGTCACAAGACAAGCCCTCACGTTGAATCCTGAAGGCCAAAGGAGAAGAGGAAAACCAAAGAACACATTACGCCGAGAAATGGAAACATTTATAAGAATTAACAACTGATTAAAACTAGAAAGGAAGGCCCAGGACAGAGTGGGTTTGAGAATGCTGGTGGGCGGCCGACGGTCGTTTGGGAGTAACAGGCGTAAGGATAAAAAAAATATGTGTCCTAAACTGTTTTTTATGTTTCTATGATTTTCCTTCATCACATAAGATGGTTAACTGAAATATCTTTGTACATTACCAACGTAGCCTTTAATGATGTGTGGATTTGGGCCTAGTGTTGAGGTAGGTACGCAACCTCGACATGGCACGTGCCGTGAATATTTGAGGACCAGAGTATGTGAGACAATTCGAAAGATGGAATAACAACAGAAAAGAGAGCACATCGAATAAGATCACATTTAGTAATGAGTTCACTCGCCACCTGGTTATCACTAGCCTATAACATAAGTATTGTATATATTGGACTGGGCGGCCTTCAGTCATTTGGCAGGCGTTATCTTATCAGATACTAAACATCCCCTTTATTCATATCTTTCTCCTTGTATATCTTCTGGTAGAACGAGACGTAAATACATTAAAATTCATGCACGCAAGCAAATCTATAAAAGTTCTGTAATACCTTACTTAGCTAATTTACTTTGTGACGAACAGGCTGTTAGAGTTGACCTAGTAAATAACCTGTCTTCTTAATCATGTCTCATATTCGATAATTTGTATAAACTCAGATTTTCTTAAACCTTTTTTATTTCTGTTTTTGTTGTTTTTTTTTTTGAGAAAAAACTTGTTGAAATAACTCGTGCTGAGAATTCTATATTGTACCAGATTATTATATAGAATAAAGCCATTAATAATAATAATAATAATAATAATAATTTGCTTTTGTGATCAAGGTCATTTATTTTCAAGGTTGTCTTGTACTTTGGAAATATGTGACTGACACTGTATTCTGTTTTACTCACTGAAACTTCATTATCTGTACATAATGCAGCCGTTTATCCATGTGTCTCCAGAAAAGTCCAGGTAGGCTTGTGTCTTAGTAGTCTTTATTTGTCTAGTGAGAGGAATCTTGTTACCAGTGTCATGGGCGCTCTAAGTGATTACATGCCTAGAAATCAGTATCGTACTTGTGGCTCCACAGAACAGGTGTTTAGCGTGAAATTCGAGGAGTTTGATGCAAGCAGTAAGTTTGATATGTCTCCCAAATTAAACTTCTCAGAATGTAACCTAGCCTACTCTACTGTTCTGTCTCTAGTCACCTGTAAAGGATCATACATATGGGGAATTTCGGTAATTCTTATTTTTAAACTAACATCTTAGTTTGGTGGTAGTGCCACCCTACTGTATTCAGAGAGAAATACATGTACAATAGACATGAAGCTGCTCCCTACTCCTTCACGTAGGTGTTGTTACATTTAATTAATCTTTTAATTTAAGATACTGGTGATTCCTTGTTTTCCAGCAGGCCTCTTATGGCTATCTGTGATACTTTCAGGTAAAAACGTAGCTTTCACATCGTATTTAGATGTAGTTGTGCATCTTCTCAGTGGCAGGTGCGGTTTATTTCTTTGTGCAATCGCAAAGTAGTTTTGTCGTATTACTTAGAGTCCAGAGCGCTCTCAGTAGACGCAAATGACAGGTGGGTTCACTCAACTCGGTCTGTTATTTATTAGATTTGTTGTAGTAACACGAACTGATTCAATAACAGTATTCTCAGCACTAACTCTTACAGAGCTCTATACGATAGCATGTAGGTTATTTGTTTTCACAAACGTTTTTAAGATGTTAACTCAACACTTTGGTCAGACAGCTTGCCGAAAAATGTACCGTCTTCGCTTGGGGTTCGTTGGCTGGCCTTCGCAGATTCCAAGGTTGGTTCACCTTTTTAACATATATTTACCTCTTTTACCATATATAAAACGTGGTTAGTTTATACCTTCTGTATCGATGGTTTTACGGCTTTATTAGCCGAAGATAGAATGCTATAATTAACGATTGTTTGCTTCTTTGTCTACTCACTCTTGGCTAAATATTCCTGAGGGCGGTAGATTAGTAGTTCAATCGTTCGACTTCCAACCATTAAGTCGACCTCCGCTACTCGTACTTCGATTTGGACAACCGAGCAATATCAGCTTGACTCACTCTCAAGTACTTATTAAATGAGCTGATTACTATATTATCACTATTATTACTTGGACATTCCAAATAAACATAAGCATCCAAACACAATCCACTGGAGTCCATGAGTCAAAGTTGCCACACAGCATAAGAAATCAATTTGCTTCGAAATATGCTAAAGCTAAGGAATAGATACGCAACGAGTTAGCTTATCTGTTCCTGACAAGTTTTAAGCTGTGTAGTATTCATAGCCTAACAACTGAATTTCCTCATCTTGTAATCCCAACCGTTAGACTTATAGCTTCTGATGTGATACATATCTAAAGTTGGCATTTTTATTTGGTGACATTATTAGTGTAAAAGTTGTCCTGATTCACTTGGCTTATTCTGTTTAGGCTGTTTAGCCTCCATCTTCATGTCACTTAATATATACACGAATATATATATATATGCCCTGGTACGGCCGAGATAGGGGAGAGTCTGCTCTCCCTCTCGAAATGCTCTCATATGGCCACGCGAATATATAGCCTCTGCCAGGGAAGTCCTACTCACTGGCTTCTCGTGGCGGGGGTGTCGTTCACAAAAGTGAGAGGACGAAAAGCGAATGTCCGACGCTTTAACCGGGTTGGTGGATGTGGAGGATCCACCTAGGGGAGTTGGAAAACCCTGATTCCAAACCAATGGTGCACATGGGCTCCAGGATTCTGAAGGAACGAATGGCGTATGGACCAACTGTTGGTGACCGGCTACCATGGGACTGTATCTCCTCACGATGCTCCACTGCCTTGTGGATTAGACCTTTACGTCAAAGGGTCCGAGTGTGGCCCCCTAAGAAAACCACCTGCTTCAGTCTGGGCACCTGGGCAGTATCACAGCCCTCACACAAATCGAATGAGATTTGTGAGGCGCATATTTATCTGGTGCTTCCTTGTACCAATATTTGTGTTTATATATATATATATATATATATATATATATATATATATAACTCACAATTCTGCCATTTTTGTAAGTTATAGGTGCTTTTCGTTTGAAAATTTCTTAATATTCAGTAACGGACACAAAATAACCTTAACAAGTACGTATTACATATCACTATCGCAACTAGCATCTTGGTTATCATTTTTGTTCTCATATGTGGAAATGACAGCTACTGATGTGTATATCAACCCTAGTTATTAATGAGGTGAACAAATTGTTTTGAATACTCAAAATCTGTAATTTGTACTTTCTAACAGAAACACATGAAGAAAACCTAGTTCCAAGTAATATTTCCGGCTTAAATTTTGAAATATTTAATTGATTATGAATTATTCAGGCCCAAATCCTTCACTTAAGACTTATTGCTTGGCCTATACGTGTACATATGTGTGTTGATTCTAAGCCGTACATACAGTTTCAAGTTCATGCCAGTATTTACTCACTTAAACGGAAGTGGTTAAAGGGATATCTATTTATTAACCCGTGAATTACATGTGAACGACCTATTGTGTATAGCTGTTAGTCGTTGATAATAATTGTGATAAAAGCATTTCAAACGACTACGATTAAGTGACTAATTAAATGAGCATCTTGCGGCAGAGTAATAATCAGGAATACAAATAATTAATGTAACCGTTACTTACAAAATGTTATGGACCAATACTATGCATATATTTCTTATCGTATAATTACTAAATAACTAAACTATTCATATTCATATCCCCCTTGTTAACTTTATTTTTACTTATAAACTGTTGTTATATGATTTACCATTCTTGAATTATGCCCTGTCTATTGTTTACTATCTCGTTATTTCACAGCCACATTTGACTGAATCTTGTACAAGTGTTATTTTCTATTTTATGGTACGATGTGGTCTGTTTGATTGATATATATAAACTCAGTTTATTTGGAATATGATTCACACCGCAGAGGCTGAGATACGTGTTCTGGACTTAACTGGCTGGGCTAGGCAGAAAGTAGGACTAACAAGTACTCTAGACTGCTCGTACGGGTTTCGTGTGTCATTGGTCCGATCGATAATTGCTGCTCTCTAATTTGCGGTATTATCACGTTATACATAAACAGGGCATCCAGGCGGCCACAAGTTATAACACAAAATTAATGACCTTCAAACTGATTATAAAGTAGACTCATTGACGAACCGTTTATTTAGTAAATCTTGGGATAGGGTGGATATACAAAGTCTGATCGTCAACACAAAACAGATATCCAATAAAAATCAAAGCACTGAAGTTATCAGTGAGATACTTGGCAACATGACCATTAATGTCAAAAACTTCAGTCGATCAAAAACTTACAATGATTATTTGTGAAAAATAAGGGTGTCTCACAGTCGTTGACCACAGCTGTGGCGTTATATAAAGCGTAATTGCAATGGAAAATAATTAATAAACGTCATTTAGACTTGAAGATTTACTGCAAGGAATTCGGAGTATTATGGTGCTACAAAACAGCAAACCGAAGCGTTACCATAGGCTAGTTTCAAGAATGAGTACGACGCTTGTTAAAGAACTAACTAGATAATCTGGCACACTAGAGGCACTTACATAACCTGTGTTTTAAGCATGTATTCAATCTACAGTTCATACTTCGTCAGTTAGACCTTCTACCTAATGCATTACATTCCTTATATAGCCCTTTCTCTTTATCACTCTTCAATTGCAGTATAAAGTCGTGGAATATAACTTATCAAAATTACTTAGCTTGCCTTCACTGAATACATACAAAACACTCCCTTTCTCGATAAATATTTAAGACTCACGCTTTACAAGCTTTCTCTGAGTAATTTTTCATTGCGCGTTGATTTTCAGCCTGTCTATCAACATTTGTCCCGATGTGGCGACGCAAGCACAGATGAGTCACAACCTTTAACTACAACAGTATTGAGTATGAATAAGGTAAGGAAACTTCTTCAACTTGATCATAATCGTTTATTATGTTAAAAGATTTCATACTTTTGGATTTTTCAAATATCTTATCACCATATTCAAAGTTCCAGGGGCTGGTAAATTCATCAGAAGAAGTAAATCGACTACACGTGCAGTGTTAAATCTATGTTAAGGGAATGAAAGAATCACTTGAATTAATATTGAATCAATTGGCTTTCTTTTATTTCAGTTGATTCAGTAGTAATAGATGAAATAGATCATGGTTCGATCTTGAACAGGAGTTATATTAAGACCTCTTTAAGGTAATCACTGGTATCAAAGTATTTTAAAAGTGTTCTTGAAATGCCGTAGCACCGTAATACCAACGTGCTTTTTTGCATGTGAAGACAAAATTATTTCCAACTCTGTGGTTGTAGTTTAAAAGAATACATTCATGTAATCAAGATATTTTAGTGATTCATCAAGACTGCTACTGAAATAAAACTGTTAGATGGGAAGGCTAAGCCAAAAATGTCTCTACAATGTTCTGGCTTTGTTTTTATTTTAATATGTTATTTCCTATCGCACTGTTGGCCAGATAGATGAACAAATTATCTAAAATGCATACATTTGAAAACCATTTCGTGCCAAATTTATTGTTTTCAATTTTATCTACGGTAATGTAACTGAAAGTCAAATATATAAACCCGTACTTTGTAATCGGTAAGCGATGTCGTGAAAGCAAAATATGAGCAATTTAGAAGTACTGTCATATACTGCTGATTAATTTATCTGTCTAACTTGTGTTATCCTCTTTCAAATCACGCGATGACTGAACGAAGTTCTTTATGTAAATATCACAATTTCATTATCAACAGTGCTGGGTAATACATGAAAATGGAATCTTATTGGATGTTCATTTTATCTGTCCTATTGTGATAAATTTATTTCAATTTTTTCACAAATAAATGTATTTAGTCTCTTTTTATAACTTCTCAATTGTACTTTCAAAATTATAAAAGTGAAGAAAGCATTTATTTGATGTCCAACTTATTATTAAGTTGGATGTGAGAAAAATAATACCAGCTAATCAACCTATTGAGGCGCATTTAGGTATGTATCAGAAAATGGTTTTTTAAAACATATTCCGTTTTCTTTAGTATCAATAGCGTTAACTTTCGTAATCTAACGTTTGAATTTGTTTAGAGCAAAAATATATCTGATAATTGTCTGTTATAGTGTGATAAAGCTAATAACGTTCTTTTAAAATACACGCTGATTATAATGAGTGTTTTACGATTGACGTTGTTGGTATTATGATAGTTTCACATATTATTATTATTGTTCTGGTGTTTCTTGTAATTTATTAGGTTCAGTTGTTGCCAGTTCCACATAGTGACCAAAAGGAATAGGTGACTCTAACTAGTTTTAACATTGTAATTGTTAAAACTGTAGTCGATTCCCTTAGATATATGGGGTTGTGTCTTAATCGGTCTGTGTAGAAATTGTATAATAGCGACTGTTTTGCGTTTTGCTGTTTGTTTTTATTTCAACATTGACAAATTGTTGAATATGTGTGATACCTTGCATATTCTTATAGCGTCTTTGGGAAGGGATTTCGGCTTTCGCTACTTCAGTTGTTTCTAGCTCATTGGGTCCGAATCCACCAAATTCGCGATATAATCATCTTGATTCTCAACATCAAGTTTCACAGACAACTTTATCAGATTCATTCCCACAACATGGATCTAATCCAATTACTTCAGAGGTGAATAACTCATATATATCACCCGGTTACGTAACAATACTTGATTTGCATACATTGAATTGTGAACATGAGACTTTGAGAAAACTTGAAAATGGTACATCATCAGTTCGTTTGTGTTCTGCTGTTTCAAATCCCTCTGACTCATCAAATCAATATAATCGTACTAATCAAAGAGCTCAGTCATCCTCTCCAAATAATCAGCAGACAAGTATTAAAATGTCAGGAGTGAAATACTTGAATGTTCATGAATTTGGTGGGTCGGGAGCTATTGTCGCTCATTTCATGGTACGTATTTTGTAAACATTTTTTTACACATGTCTCAATTGATTACATCATTTCATTTCACCAGTTTATATCATAAATATTAGTATGAAGATTCCCAGTTATGAAACTACCATTATGAGAATCAATCGATCAAAACAAGAAGCTTGTGTAGGTGATATAGTGGTTTAATATCTTACGGATACTTATTATACATCTAAACCAACAATCGTTTTTTCTATCTATAATTGCAACTGCATGATGATTTCTATCAATGGAAAGTAGTATAATCATCTACTAAACCACTATTCGACAACAGATCACAAAAGCTTTTTTCTAGATTAAAATAATATCATTATTAAGGAACTGGAGGTCCAATTAATGTTGTGTAATTCTTATCCAATCAGCGCTGGTCGACACTTGGAGATGACTCTAGAATCTTATGTAAAAAATTATAAATATTCTAACGTTTTTCTTATTGCGCTTATTACTTTTATCTATCCTTGTTATTCGGAATATAATTTCTTCCCTCTTCAACCGTGTTCTGATTTGGGGACTTGTCGAGTGTATTGGTGTCAAAGAATACTAAGCAATAGGAATAGCTGGGTCTTAATAAGAAAAATTATAACAGTGGCGAAGGGGGAAAAGAGAAACACATTTTAGCATGCCGATATCAGATGACCAGCTCAACCGAATACTATTACAACAGCAAGTACAACTTGATGCACAAGTGCGGTTTTCGGAGACCCTGGCGCAACAGTTTAACATCCACTACTGGAGTTCACACGCTATTTCAAGTACTTCTTGTGATGCAGTTGCTAGCAGCGTCCCAGAATTCATCTATGACCCCAAAAGTGGATATACCTTTGCCACGTAGTTCAAGCGTTGGGAAGATACATTTAGAATAGAATTCTGTAAACAAGATGACGCATGGAAAACTCGATTGTTGATGCGTAAGTTGGGAAGTAATAAACATGCACGTTATACTGACCATATTATGCCAAAGTTACCTCGAGAGCTCAGTTTCGAGGAGACAGTAACACATTTGTCAGAGATATTCATTGAATCCTCCTCATTGTTCAGTATTCCATATCAGTGTCTAAATTTGGTGAAACTTCAAGCAGATGAACATGGTGCATTAGCGCACGTCATCAACAGTGAGTGTGAACGGTTCAGGTTACGCTCATAGACAGAAGATCAATTTAAATGCCTAATATTCATCAAAGCTCTTCAGTCGCTACAAGATGCTGAGATTATGACTAGACTTTTACCTCGCCTGGATGAAGACCCAAACGTCACACTCGGGACATTGACAGATGAGTGCAGACGGCCATAAAACATTAGATACGATAATCAGTTGATTGAACAGGTAAATCATAATTTGACCTGCATTAGCGTCCATGCTATTACTAGGTTAAAATTTCAGAAGCTGATTAGTACTCTCAACAAACCAAAGACTGCCTGTTGGTTATGCGATGATTAGCATTATGTACGATTCTGTCCACTTAACAAGCATAAATGTCAGGTGTGCAACAGACATGGACATAAAGAGGGCCACTGTCCACCGAATCGTACGTCCCAGCCCAAGAAGAAGTATAAACGTTCTCGAAGTGGTGAAATCAGCTGAGTCTAAATATCTTTTTCTGGTAGCCGCCTTTCAAACAGATTATGACATTCGGAGAAAGTATGTTACTATCCAAATAAACGGCATATTATCTTGTCTTCATATTGACACGGCATCAGATATCACCCTAGTATCCAGAGAAACGTATAACTTTCTGGAAAAGCCGCCAATGAAGCCATCAAAGAAAACGGCTAAGAACGCATCAGGAGGTGTACTAAAACTAGTTGGTGAATTAGAATGTGAATTCTCCTACAACGGCACTAACTGTAAAGGAACATCACTCAGTCAGCCAGCGTTTTTCTCCCTATAAATGCATGTTGTTGCTTCAGGACTGACCTGCGCCATTACCTTAACTAATGATAGTGAGTGAAATAGTCGGATGCGTCGACAACTTCAATTATTTTAAAAGTTTGAGCAGCCCTAATGGGTTGGTGTCTGACGAAGTCTCAGCTTTTACCAACTTACGTCAGCCATAGGCGCTGCGCTTACTTAACATTTGTTATTATTCAGTGATCGCTCAATATATATAGTTTTTCTCTTCTCTAATTTCTAAAACACATTTTATTTCGAACTGTTTTTCATTTCAGGCTCATCGTTGGGCTGGTGTTGCGTTCTTAAAGTTTGATCCATCTGGAAGTCTCTTGTTCACCGCGTGTAAGCGGGGTCACTCATTCAATTTATTTCGTATTGCTAATCATCCGTTTGACCAGCGTCAAACTTCTGTACATCACTTATACATTTTGGAACGTGGTAATTTACCATGTGAGGTAATTTGTTTTCATAGTTATTATATCCCTGGTAATTTATATCACGATTTGAGTTTTTAGGATGTCCTAAATATCGAGTGTACACTATACTCTCCTTATTTTGCTGATAAAATTATTTCAGAAACCAACTCAATTAGTTCCCACAACGTTGTGAAGAACGAACCACGAAATCATAATACACACTCGGTTTTTGTGTTTTTGATTTAAAGACAAGTTTAGGTTTTGTCCGACTCACAGTTGAGTGACCTCAAAATTTACACTCAATCCAGAAACTAATGTATGATCTCTTTTCACCGTGATGAAGTGTCTATTTTTTACTGCATTACTAATGCTTTAGTTGAAAAAAATATGGTATATTTTTTCTCTGAATTATTCTCGTGTTATATCTTAGTAAAGATTAAATTATAGGTAACTTCTGAGAATTGTTAATGGACTAATGTTGTATATATATACTTATTGTATAACTATTCAATAACTAGATTATGTATATCTATATTGATCTTATTATAAACTTTATTTTGATTTATAGACTATCATGATACGATTTACTATTCTTAAATCATACCCAGTTCATTAATTACAGTCTCTCACATTCACAGGCACTTTTTGACCTGATCTTGTACAAATGTCAATATTTTATAGTGTGATGTGGTCTGTTTGGCTGGTACATAAACCAAGTAAGTTTGAAATAAATGGTTCGCATGAAGACTCTAGGCTGCTCATACCGGTCGAACGTCATTGGTTTGGCACAGTGCTAAGATTGAATAAATCATATTCCCATTGGCGAACAAGTCACGTGATAATTAGCCAGGCTTGATTCACATCTGGAGTTACTGTTTTCAATAAATATAATCACAATCGTTTCCATAATTTTTATAGAATTAATTAAAAATGACAATCTGATGTTAATTGTACCGTTCAGATCGATATAATATTGAATATGTCTCGTCAAAATAAGCAGCAGAATTTGTTTATATGTATGCTTATGTCTAAATCACAATGATAATAATAATAATACCAATTATCATTATTATTATTGTGATGCTATCGTTCTTAATAAGTGTAATTTGTTACTGTATATCACGATATTCTGTTTATTTTACGTCTCTATCGTCTTTGGTCACAAAAACACATTGTGTTCACGTGTCATTGTTACAGCATAAGTATATTTCTAATAAATTGTCTCATGAAATTTGTCATTAGAAAACCTTTTTTATTTCAATTATGCTTTTCAACTCTCCTCCTTGTTCATTCGAACCTGTTGTCTACCTCATTCAGAAGTATCTGTTCACATGATTCAATAAATATGGTGTAGTGGGTACTACTCACAAGATTGCTTGTAAGTGGTATATAGAAGGATGTGGTCACTCCGTCTGACGACTGTGATGACTTCGAGGCCACGTCCCTCTATATACTGTCTACGAGCAATCTTGTTAGTAGCGTCTGCTACAACTTGATGGACCAACCATATTCTTTATTCTTATCATCTAGGAGAGTCGGAAAATATGGCGTTTGATTCTGTATTTCTTATCATCCACAAAATTCACTAAAACCAATCTATATTCATAAGTACTTTACGTTGAAGTTTTTGAAATCCAAATTTTAAACTAGAATTCTGTCTGAAAAGTGTTTTCTTGGGTCTATTTCTTTGCTATGGCACATACTTTATCATTTTCTCCTCTGCTGACGTATTTCATTCAGTTTGATGTTTATAATGAATTTTTCAGTTCCAATTTAGTTTGCATTATACTGGCAACAAAATTAAGTGCACCTTACTGGTTTGGTCTCAGTCTGTTGTGAACGGTATTTTCAAACGCGAATAAATCTCCGCTGAAACCAAATGGAGTAATGAGTATGTTAATAATGATGGAGAAAGGAATAAGCCCGATTGTTAGACGTTAATATCTTGCAAGAGCGATTACCTTTTAGTTACCATATCCTTCTGTCACCTATTTGTTTAATAACTTCTGATCATGCTTGTTTCTATGTTGAGTATTTTGTATTTATTCTCCTTGTTCTGTTAGGAGAAAAAGATTTCTATTGGACAGTTATCTTCCAATATATGTCAATAATTCGGTCTCGTGAGCAGCATTCTGTTGATTCATTTTGACACTTCAAAACTCATTCGCTTGTCACATTTCTAATCATAACACAAGTGTCCTTAAGCTCCTAACGAGAAGTTACTTTTGTGACATATAAACTATTGTATTTTAACTTAGAATGGTGTTATACTTGCCGCGAAAATTTAAACAATATAAATACAGTCCTATATATGCTTTTGAAAGTATGTCGTCATTTTTGACAATGCACAGCTACTTACTAAGGAAAGTGCTAATATGTAATAATACGCAGTAACAAAATGTGTTCGATTGATAACTAAATGGTCATATAAGTTATCGAGCGAACAGAGATCAAAAGAGAAGACAAATCTCCATCAAAATATCTTTTTCCCTAATGAAATAATATGCTTGAACGCCAAATATAAGATATCATTTAATAAGTAAACAATCTGCCCAATGCTCAATTTATTCAAAATTATCAAATCAAAACTTGGTAATGATACCTACAATTAGAAGATATCCCGACCGTTGCTGCTACCTTGACGTGGTGGTCGGGCTTGCCTATCGTGATGAACCAATCGAGCTATACTGGCTGGAACAATCGTTCCTCAAGGTCCTACCATGCCAGGCAGGTCGTTTGAACAGCGGTGAGACTAAAAGCAGCAAACCCAAGATCCGAAGGAGAAGTCGTACTGCTGACTGTACAGAAGTGTGACAGCAGTAAGGTGTTTCCTTCAGATAACCAGCATGACAGAGATGCTGCCTTCCCACAAGAAGGGGTGGGATAAGAAAAGGTCGACCCTAAAAATGCACACCTCGCCTTATCCCACGGATATCCGTATCTGGCGGTCATTTTATTTTTATTTATTTAATCACATATATATTGGTACAAAGTTCACTGGATACATATGCGCCACACAAAATAATGAGAATGGGAGGAGAAGGAAGAAGATGTGTACATATAAAGGAAGGAAAAAAAGAAAAGGAGAAGAGTAATGATGGGGGGAACTGAAATGTACAACCAGAAGAGCTCTCTCAGTTAGGAAAGTTATAGCCACTCTTTATGCAGAAAGTAGAAAAAGGTCACAGCAGGATCGCCACTGGCTTTTATTCTGAGCCATATCTGATAACGTCTCTAGCCACTGTGTTGCACCATCTCTCGGACCCCAGCCAGGGAGTCGTGAAGGACCAACAAAAGCTAGCCCTTTGCAGCTCTCTTTCATGCCACAACACCATGTCATACACTGACCTCCTCTCCGCTTTCTCCAACCAGTCCCAGAGTCGGCAAATAATGCACGACGTGGAAGCCTCTGGGACGACATTCGTAAAACATGTCCAAGCCACCGAAGTCGGTGTTTCAAGATGGTAACACCAATTGAATTATCGTCTCTGCGCCCAAGCACACGATGTCGAACCTCTGCATTACTAACATGGTGTTGCCACTGAATGTCAGCAATCCTTCGGAGACAACGATGATCGAACACAGAGAGATGTCTAACATCCTCAACTCGGAGAGGCCAGGTTTCACAAGCATAGAGCAGAACTGCTCTCACCGACGCGTTGTAGATCCGACCTTTTACAGCCAGACTAACATCACGAAGGCGCCAAAGATGGCCCAGATTGGCATAAGCCGCTCTGGCTTTCATTATACGTGCATCAATCTCATCACTCACGCCACCACCAGCACTTATATAGCTACCTAGATACACGAACTTCTCAACTACTTCAATCTGCTCACCATCCAGGGTGAGAACAGGATGGGAATCCTGCCAGTCTTGTAGGAGTACCTTGCACTTGGAGGGTGCAAAGCACATACCGTACCTGCGGACACTGATCGCCAACTGATTAAGTGCGGTTTGCATGCCTTGGGCATTATCGCACAGTAAGACAATATCATCCGCATACTCAAGGTCGAGAAGTCGTTCTCCAGGCAACATATCCACACCGCCATTACTTACATCCATCAGAGCTGTTTCCAGGATGTCGTCGATGGCAAAGTTGAAGAGGAATGGTGAGATTGGGCAACCCTGCCTAACCCCACTGCTCGAATGGAACAAGGGAGAAAGGTGGTTGTATGCCCTCACTCTGCCTGAGGTGTTCGTATACAGGGCCTTTAAGATGTTAATGAACTTCTCAGGCACACCCTTCTTCAATAGACAATCCCAGAGAACAGTCCTTTCCAACGAATCGAAGGCCGCCCTGATATCGAGAAACACTACGATTGTTGGCCTGCGATAAGTATGACGATGTTCTAACATTTGGCGGAGGGTGAAGATGTGATCAATGCATCCTGGACCAGAACGAAAACCAGTCTGCTCCTCGCGAGTCAATCGTTTTCGGGTTTTAAACAGTCAGTCAGTTAGCGACAACGTAGGACCAGGCACATATATGCGGGGTTTTAAACAACCTACAAAGAATGATAGAAGCCAATAGTTTGGACGCAATTGGAAGTAGACTTATCCCCCGATAGTTATTACAGGAACAACGTGAACCCTTTTTAAAGATAGGGACGACTATTGACTCATTCCATGATGTTGGAACACTTTCTTGCTCCCAAACCTTTGCAAACAACACAGTCAATTCCTTAGTCAGAAAGTCACTACCATCTTTAAAAAGAGCCTGAGGTAATTCATCTGGGCCCGGTGATTTGTAGCGCTTCAAGAGTTGGAGTTCCTTGCGGACTTCCGCCTCGTTTGGTGAATCAGTCGTCACCGGCCATGGGGTGCAGGACAAACTTGTTGATGTTGCCGGAGCAGCAGGCCAGTTGAACTGCCCTTTGAAAAATTCCGCCCATCGTCCAAGACGTCGTAAATTGTTTCACTCACACCAGACTTCTTGCTGCCAGTGACCACTTCTAACCTAATTTCCTTTTCAGGTACCTCTAGAAGAACCCTTCCACGGTGTGTGCAACCGGGAAGTGATAACTGCCCTCATACCTCT